TAAATGCGTTTTTTATAGATAATAAATAGTAGGGTTATATATCCGGCAGTATAGATGCTCTAGATAACTGTAATCTACTCTTAGTTGCCTAGTTAAATAAGATTAGGCCTTATATATTTCTCTAAACCTGTAACAACCTTTATTATGCTAATTATACCTATTTAAAAGCCAGTTTTATTAAAGTTGTAGATGTTATCTAGGTAGACGCTATACTTAGCTATAGTCTCTTGCACGAGAGTAAACTATATATTAATAACCTCTAGGTCTTCCTAGAGTATTCTCTAGCAGTTCTTTACCTAATTAAAAGCTATTTTAAGCTCCTTTATATAAGATATAAACTGTTAAGTCCAGTTCTTGCCTACTAGTATCCTACCACGCGCAGCCAGTACTTTATCTGCTATATCTGCCACCTTACACAACCGGGGCGCAAATCCTCGCGAGTCTAGGTCAAGGATATATTGTATAATTGTGTGCTCTTCGGTCGCAGTGAGCTTTAGGCAGTTTAGTCGTAATTAAGGTTAAAACGTGATTCCGTAGAGCCGATTAGAGAGCCGCTGATGTCGTATATTAAAGGCTGCTGCAGCGCGTCGTATAGTCCTAAATTAACCAGAGGTAAAGGCTTAAAGCGCGAGATTAATACTGCCTTCTTGCTAAGATAGATAATCGCTGCATTGTTAATGCATTGCTGTGTGAATATAGTGTTGGTTGTGCCAAGGAAAAGTAGCCGGCTCGGTGGTTTGGCCGGCTCGGTGGTGGAATACGTTAGTATACGTATATAAGAAAAATAGTATAAAACTTAATAAACTACGCGCCTATTTATTAGCCGTATATAAAATAAAGGAATTTCTAGAGCTTAAATAGTTTCTAAAAATTCGCATAATCTAGAACTAAAAGTATAAAAAGCTATAGCTCTACTAAAATTCCTAAATTGTAAAAATCGCTATATAATATAAGCTTAAAAGCTACTAATAGGTATATACGCTATTAAGTATAGCAGAGCTTATATATAACGCGAAATAAGTAATACCTGGCGAAATTCACCTATATTAACGAAAAATCGGCGCTATAAGGCACCTATTAGTAATAACACGCCCTAATATATTATATATAGTTTTAAAGCTTATAAAATTCCTTATAAATCTATTTATAGCGTATTAATAAGCTATAGATAGCCTTATTATATATTTATATTAAATAAAATATTACGCAATTAAATATAGTAGTAATGCGCCTGCAGTAATTATATAAGCTAGTAATATATTATTTATAAATAATTTAGTTATAAGATATTCCTCTAAAGGCTATATTTTTAAGCTATTTAGAGGCCCTATTAATTAGAAAGCAACTTAGTAGAAATCTATTATAAAATTATTAATAGAGGTGGAGCTTATAGCGCTTCTATACGCTATAAGCAAATTAATATATTAGTAGTAACTATTTATAAGCCTATAGCTTAAGCTTAAAAAGCCTTATAAAATTAAGTGCGATAATATATAAACTATTTAAATTCTTACTACTTACAGGCTTTAATTATAAACTAAGCTTAAGTATATAGATATATATTATCTTTAGCTGCGCTAGTAAATATAACGAAATAATATTAATATTAAATAGACGCCTATAGCTACTATAATAGCTAACAGCTTTATAAAAGCTCTAAATTATTAAAAATATAAGAAATTTATTAAATAGCTAGGTCTTATAGATATTACCTATAAGCTTTAACACGGCGCTATAGTTACGCCGTAATATATAGCTATAACTACGGCTGCGCCGCTGCTTTTCCTATCTATATTACTGTTCTTATTTTTTCTACTTTTCTTATTACGTGTTCTATATAGGTTATAGCTACGCTATAACCTAGGGGGGTATAATAGCTATACTTAGATATCTATTATTTAGCTGGCCTCTACCTACTAGCTTTATTTTTTAGCTTAATTACTTTATTTTTAAGCTTAATTACTTTATTTTTTAGCTTAATTACTTTATTTTTTAGCTTAATTACTTTATTTTTTAGCTTAATTACTTTATTTTTTAGCTTAATTACTTTATCTTTTAGCTGCGCTAGGTTTTTATATTAGCTGTATAAAGTTTACTATCTAGCTAGTCTAGCCTTATTCTATATCTATATAGTATTACTTCTATATATTAATATAACTAATATCTTCTATATAAATTACTTTATATTTCTTTACTAGCTGCTAGTATACTAAAAAGTCCTAAAGCTACTACCTATACCTAAAAAACTATAGCGCAATATAATAATAGACTTTATTATATATCTACCTAAAACTTAGAAGAAAAAAAACGCTATTTTTATAGTAGTAGACTAGCTAACTAAAATAAAACACTTTATTACTTACAATAGAACTTATAATACTAAAAGTATTACTATTCTATTTCTAGAATACGTTTAGAAGTTATATAGCCTACTAGTTTCTATTATATTTAACTAAAAATTCTAGTTTATAGCTAAGTTCTAGAAATACCTAACCTATTGCCTAGTAATTAACTACCTACTATTAACTACCTACTACCTAGAAATAGATAGCTAATCTAAAAGAGCTAATACTATCCTAGAATAGTACCTGCGAGCCTATATATTATACCTATAAAATAATTAAAACTCCTAGCTGCTGCTAAGCAAATTTGCAATTAATACTGCCACTTCTAAGAGCACGTAGCTCTCCCTATTCTTTGCTAACTATACCTTTTACCTATACTTAAAATTTAAACCTATAGAACTATCCTATTAACAGCCTACTAAAAATACTAAGAAATTTGCCAGCCGTATAGAGAAGATTACTAAGTACCTAAAGTCTAAACTTACTATTATATATACTAGGTATAAAAACGCAGTAAACTGGACTTAACACCCTGCTAGAAACTACTAAGTAGGGGATATAGTATAGCTTAACGCTAGAAATATTAAGACTACCCGCCTATAAAAGAAGCTAGATTAAAAGAATCTAGGTCTCTTCTATATTAAAAGGGTTGTTAGCCTATATACTTACTTTCTAATACTGCCTAAAAGTATAAAGATTTACAATGTGTTCTATGTTAGCCTGTTAAGACCCGCTGCTAAGGACCCGCTGCCTGGGCAGCGTTAGGACCCGCCGCCACCTGTTGAAATTGACAGCCTAGAGGAATGGGAGGTGGAGGAGGTTATTGACTCCTGGTGGAAGCATTGAGGACGTGGGGCCCCCCAACTGAAGTACACTGTTAAGTGGGCTGGTTATAACAAGGTTACTAAAGAGCCTGCCAGCTACCTGGAGCATGCTGAGGAAGCTATCCAATTCTTCCATCGCTGATACCCTGATAAGCCTGGTCCTTAGGCCTTAACAGAGTTTGGCCTTAAGGAGGGGAGTACTGTCACGGCTTGGATCAAGAACTAAAGGTTCCTGCAGATTACCAAAAACTGCTGCATACTGCTGCGTACTCCTGCATACTGCTGCATACTGCTGTGTACTGCGGCACGCTGCTGCATACTGCCGCAACTTGTAGAGCTTGATAGCGTGCCGGAACGGAGTTAAGATACTCCAGCTGTAGCGGCTTAGCGACAGAATATCTTGCAAGCGCCCCGGAGGACCTTCGTAGCTCTTCGAGCTACGTCTTGTTATTCTGCTGTCTGTCAGCACGCATAGGATCTGTAGCAATTCAATTGTCATTACCTCGCCCCTGTCTGCCTGAGTTAGCTAGGTCCCGACCGCCCCTGCGCCGTGACAGCATGGATGATAAAGTGGCCTTGTGCTGTTTTCCATTGGAGGGTAAGTTTACTCAAGAATTGGAGCCCTGAAACTGGAACCTGGCAGGCCTATGGGCCCGGAAATGGGCCTTCTGAGGCAAGGTGAGGACCCTAGTCTCAACACTCCTGTTGAATACAGGGCCCAAAACTGGGTTCCAACAAGCTGCTCAGTCTCGGCTCAGATGCGCTCAGTCTTGGCTCAGCATGCGCTTACCCAGCACAGCCACAGCTCAGGTTCCTGAACGGGAAAGGAAATTGCTTGGGTGCACATTGGGATATCGTACTACCTGTTTTAGGGCCGCAGCAAGTTCGGGAGACGAAGAAATTACCTATTTGGAGTGCGTTTGTCCGAAAAATCCATCGGGACGCGTTTCGCACTCCTTGAGTCGAACAAGGTCTACTCCTTCTGTATGTTTGGCTTTGCACCGTTCGTTTTGCTAATTCGCTTGCAGTGAGAGTTTACGAAGTAGCTATGATGACGTGCTCGCATCATCCCCAGTCGAGCGTCGGAAAAAGCACCAGAGCGCGTTGTTGAGGCGATCTGAGCAAGGGGGCGTGTGTGGGTTGGTGGGGTACAGCATTATAAGGGTAACTACAAAGGTAGGATCGTGGGACAAGTTAGTTCGAAAACAACACACAGTCATATACTATCTACCTCTGCTTACTCCTTCGTGTGATTTCTAGAGGTGATATCTTGAACATGGCCACTAGAGTGTGTTTCTGCAAGGCTTCCAGTAGGTCCAATAACTATATTGCCATTCTCAAGAGCCATTCTCAATATCCGAATATTGAAACGAATGCCAACCAATTCAATCTATATTGGAATAGATTCCTCGCCATGCATCCCGATATAAATCAAGAAAATAGTTCGTGAAAAGTGACCCCAATCTTCTAAGTCTGCGCCCTCCAATGCACGCCTGACACAAAGGAGAAACAATTGATGCTCATTTCAGATACAATGCCAAGTCGCTGATTTACATGTATTAACTCAGCAATGCGTGAGTTTCTTCAAGGCGCATCTTTGGGTTGCTGAACACTACCTTGTGGAGTAGCTCGTTTGGAAAAAAGGGCGATGACTAGCACCTTCGACCTTGCCTAAATTCGGCGGCAGGATGCTGGATTATGGAGACTCGATAGAAGCATCACAAGAACTCGTAAATGAGAGCACACAAACATATGGCGAGGCGATGTAAGCGTTAAACGTGATAAAAAGGAGTAGCGCCGGTTTAGCGAGAGGTCTCAAGAGACACGTCGTTTACAGGAATACCCAAGGGTCCGCCCGCAATGTTATTAGACCCGGTAAGAAGTCATGTATTACTGTACAGAAGACATCATGATTCGCTGGCTGTTGTCCTTGTCGGTCCGCAAGCATGGTCAATCGAACCTGTCGGACTAAGCTTTTGGCGTCCGGACTCAATCGACGGATGAAGTCCAATACAGGAAGGTAATTGAAGCCGATGAAATGGAACTGATGCTCGGAATACAACACAGACAAGGCCTCATGGTAGATCATTCGGTTAGTTCGGAGAATCGCTAATGCCATCTTATCTGGATGGGGACTCGGTTTGCGATTCCATTTTGCGCTCGCGGCTGTAGCATCGCAGTCTGCGTAAAGGCGAAAACTCTGGGGAGAACTTGGGACGATATACCGGAAAATTTCATGACGAATCTCCACTGGAAGTCGTAAGAAAGGCGGGCATTCATCCAAGGTCGTGATGCCCGCCGAGCTTCGGTGTCCTGGATCTGGTCGTTTCTTCACGGTGTCTAAAGCACCTGTAACGTCTTCTTCATGAGGTGACGGATGCTACGGTTGGATTGGTTAGTCCTATGATCTTCTGAAGATGACCCGACATTTTAGGCAACTCACTCTTCTTGAGAAGCCCATAATGAAAGCTGAAACGCGAAGGAGTCAGAACAAAAGAAAGGCTGTCTGATTTGCTGGGCTTCTACTCCGAGCCAGCCAGCGAAAGTAACCTTGACGCTGCAGTCATGTGCACCGAGAGACGAGAATAGAAAGTTGGGAGATTTCGAGATAGACCATGAGAAACAAAGGTGCGAGATGAAATAGGAGAACAATAGCGAAATATTAACATGTAGATAGATGTTGCAGTGATGTTGCCTAGAGGATCATGCCGTGAGGGAGACTCAGCCTCGAAGAGGGAGGTTGGCGGCTTGGCATCGGGCCGGGGAAACCTGCTCCGACGTGAAGGAAAACGCGTCGGATAATTTTGGTGGTGACATAGCTTGGTTGTTCCCCCACTTCGCCCTCACTGATCCAGATACTGCCTTTAAAAGACAGAGTCATATCAGAAGACCAGGTTTCAAGCTCGTATACCGTGGGCGTCTTCCAGAATGTCGTTCGGAGGCCAAACACCCACTATTATAGTGTTGAAGGAAGGTTAGTTTTCACTCTGCGCTGCCTAGAACAAAACATCACCCGATGCTAACTGCTCTACAGGGACCGACCAGGCCCAAGGGAGGGGACAAATAATATCGAATATTAATGCTTGCCTTGCTGTGCAGGAAACAATCAAAAGCACGCTGGGACCATATGGCGGGGATCTACTTCTAGTTGATGAGAATGGCAAGCAGACTATTACGAATGATGGCGCCACGGTTATGAAGGCAAGCACTGCGACCTTCGTTGTTTATGTACCTAAGTTCTAATTCAGTCTGCAGCTTCTGGACATCGTCCACCCGGCCGCTCGAATCCTCACAGACATCGCCCGTTCTCAAGATGCAGAAGTTGGTGACGGCACGACATCGGTTGTGGTATTGGCCGGAGAGATCCTTAAGGAGATAAAAGAGTTTGTCGAGCAGGGTGTCAGCAGCCAGACAATCATCAAGGGCTTAAGACGAGCTTCGCACATGGCTGTCAACAAAATCAAGGAGATTGCTGTGGACACAGCGGAGTCCAACCAGAGAGAGACCCTTCAAAAGCTTGCTGCGACGGCTATGAGCAGCAAGCTGATCAACAGGAATTCCGGCTTCTTCACGAAAAGTAAACCACTCTACCTGTCTCCATAAGCTGATCAGATTGCTAACGTCTGCGCGCCAAAAACAGTGGTGGTAGACGCTGTACTGTCTCTTGACCAAGACGACCTGAACGAGAAACTCATCGGTATCAAGAAGATTACCGGCGGTGCGCTACAGGACTCGCTGTTCGTGAACGGTGTAGCTTTCAAGAAGACCTTCTCCTATGCCGGATTCGAGCAGCAACCGAAGTCTTTCAAGGACCCGAAGATCGTATGTCTCAACGTGGAGCTAGAGCTTAAGAGTGAGAAGGACAATGCGGAAGTCAGGGTGGAACAAGTTTCAGAATACCAGGCTATCGTGGATGCAGAGTGGCAGATCATCTTTAACAAGATGGAGGCTCTGTACAAGACTGGTGCAAAGGTCGTCCTCAGCAAACTGCCAATCGGCGATCTCGCCACGCAATACTTTGCCGATCGGGATGTGTTCTGCGCCGGACGTGTCGCATCCGATGATCTGGAGCGGGTTTGCCAAGCAACAGGAGCCAGCATTCAATCAACTTGCTCAGATATCCAGGCCAAACACCTCGGTACCTGCGAGCGTTTTGAGGAGCGCCAAATTGGTGGTGAGCGCTTCAACTTCTTTGAGGGATGCCCTGCCGCAAAGACCTGTACGCTAGTGCTGCGCGGCGGCGCAGAGCAGTTCATTGCAGAGGTTGAGCGAAGTCTGCACGACGCCATCATGATCGTCAAGCGTGCGATCAAGAACAAGAACATTGTCGCTGGTGGTGGTGCCTGTGAGATGGAGATCTCTTTCTACCTACATCAGTTCGCGAACGTCAACATCCCACACAAGCAGCAGGCTATCATCAAAGCATTTGCGAAAGCGCTTGAGGTGATCCCGCGACAGCTATGCGACAACGCAGGATTTGATGCCACGGATATCCTCAACAAGCTCCGGTTCGCACACAAGCAACACAACACGTGGGCCGGTGTTGACTTTGTCCACGAGGGCGTTGCCAACAACATGGAGAAATTTGTCTGGGAACCTAGTCTGGTGAAGGTTAATGCCATCCAGGCAGCGACTGAAGCGGCTTGCCTGATCTTGAGCGTGGATGAGACGATAAGTCCGTAAAACATACTCCCACCTATAATTCTCGTGCTAACTCAGTCTTAGAGAACCAAGAGTCACAACAACCGCAAGCGCCACAGAGAGGTCTTCCGCCCGGGGCGGCGCAGCGAGCTCTGAGAGGTCGTGGGCGTGGCATGCCCCGGAGGTAAATTTCCAACCGACGGCGACGGATCGGCTGGGGTGGAGAAAAGCATGCTGTATAGCACGTTGTAGATATACCAAGTACACATCATGCACTGGTCGTATACTCTGCATGGGTCTTGGTAACCTAGAACTCATCCGGGAGGGCGACAAGCGCACACCGCCCGTATGTAATAGTCTGTGCGCCGCTCATCGGTTGTGATGATCGAGATAACCTATAGATCTGCAACTAGCAAGTCTTGAAATAAAAAACTTCTGAATTGAGCCTGCTCATGTATGGATAGACTTATCGCGATAGATTGCTTTACGGCCATGACACCTCGTCGATACCCGAAACAAGAGAGATAAGCAGTCTGACTGCTTTGATTGAAGCCGAGAGGAAGTGCGGGAAAAGCGTGGCCTATACGTGCACGTGATGTGGTGTCTTTTTCGAGCGATTTGATACCAAAAATACGCGAGGCCGCTATGTAATATTCCGACGTCCTAACCGCAGCTCTGGAGATGCTTTGCAAGCTCATGAACCCCTCTACCTCATGTCCCCGCCTGCCATTGCCTGCCGTCGAGCAGTGCACCGCATTCGCCCTCCTTTGGTCGACAGTGTTTGGATCAGTGACGAGCTCCTCGCCGACGTCTACCACCGCTTTCTTCAGGCGTCCTTCTCGAGCCAGCGACGCCATGGCAGCAATGTCCCGGGGCCATTGGAAGCTAGGAAAAGGGCTTCCAAACGCCGTATGATGGATCTCGCGGCAGCTGGAGGGGGAGGTGCATTTCCCAACCCGGCCATGCTCTTTGGACCTTCATCGACTGGACCTTCATTGACCGGCCCTTCGTCGTGGAAATATCAACCTCCTTCGAAGAGCTCGCGTACAAAACCGGGGAGTTCTGGTATGTCATGCATCAGCGTTGGGGCCTTTAGTTAAACTCGTTTACTTACGTCTACCCTTGCAGAGCTACCTATCTTGTCTCAATGGCTGCTAGATCTCTCGGCACCTGCTCCCCCTCGACCCAAACAATTAGACAATTTGGAGCAGCTTGAAGCAGAGCCGGTCCAAGATGAACCGTCCTTTGATGATCGCCTACTGTCTTTCAAGAGCCTAGTGAACAGCAGGACGGACCAAAAAATTATACGAAATCTATTCCTAGAATACTGCCCTCCTGGAGGCGAGTCCAAAAAATTCAGCCAGCTCGCATTCAAGCACATGGTGGATATTGAGTGTCCATTCGACCAGATCCTCCTATTACTACCCGAGCCCTCTATAAACGCAGCCGGGACAGGCAATGTCGAGCGTTTGCTCCGATTGTTGAACGACACTCCAATGGAGTTGACGAATACCTCGATTGTGAGGCTGAAGCAACGCTACAATTACTTTTTTTGGACTATCTGTAAACTCAACGCACCCGGCAGCCAACGAAACATGACCGACGGGGAGATATTAACCGTTGTTCACACACTCAAGTCTGCCAACCCTACAGTCCTCCAGGACCTCGAACGCGCTCATCTTTACAACGATTTGTGGCAATCCTGTTTTACTCGCGCGAACATAGTCTCTCCAAAGTCGTTCGATGCTGAGCTATTCCAGCAAATCACCAGGACCTTCAAGTGCCACTACGGACCGGTGCCCCTGCGGTGGATGAAATCCAAGCAGGAGCCTCTTGTGGAGGATCTAGTAGGCTTACTTCGTTGGAACTTAAAAAAAGCAAACAGGAAAAAGAATAATGTGCTCCTCGCCTTTAACACGATCCCAATATCACTTCTGCCGAGCCTATTCAGGGCAGTCACTGCGTCCGTTGCTCGCCAGCCCGAGCCCCACCAGCGAGCTTCAGAGCTCGATTCGTGGCTACAGCTTGTAGACGCCTTCTCGAAAACTCAATTGCCTGAAAATGCACGTCGGAAGATAATAGACATGGTCTACAGAGAACTCGCCGCCCAGAACGTGGGGCCAGTAAACGTTTTAAGCTATGTTGCTAAATTTAATCTCAAGAGAACAATCCACTCTTTGATTGCGGGCTGGGCCCCAGACGTAGGTCTCCGGACGAAGCTTATGACCTGTGCGAACAGTTTTCTCAAGTCGCGAACGACATCCGATCGCAAACGTCTCGGCGGAGCTCTGGTCGAGCTTCTTGTCGAGATGGAAAGTCTAGAAGAACCCATTTCCGCTGCTGTAGATGAGTCCGTCGAGCTTGTATATCGTCAACCAGGCGGCGGAGCCAAGGCTGTAGTAGACTTCCTCACGGAGCTGGCTCTGCGAACTAGCACACAATTCAATCCCCAAATTCTCTACCGAATTGTCCTCGAGACAATGTACACCGACAGCGCTCACGCCTACAAACTCTGCGAGATTGTCTCAAGCCTCGACTTGCGTTTTAACCCCAATTTCCCGGTCCACCACATCCTCGGTGGCCTCCGCTCGATGATGGATATGTCCCGCATTGTGCTCAATGCCCGGCGTCGCGACCATCTTCCGACGCCGTACCGTAATCAGCCACTCGTGGATCTTTACCAGATCCGCGTTGAGCTCATCCATCAGATTGCGTACCAGTACTCCCTCGACGAAAGCTTCACCCATAAGTCATCTGGCCGCGCGCTTTACTACCTCTGGAAGTATTTGAGAGTCCATAGCCTTCCCATCGGACCACTGATGACCAAGGCTCTTGTCAATGTGTTCGTCACACGCCCATTGCTGGATCGCCGGTGGGTCAGCACACGCCGTTTTACAATCGTCCGGGACGCGGTCGCGAGGGTCGAGGGCAAGGAGACGGCAGCAAAGCTACACGAGACTTTCTGGTATTGGAGGGGAGAGCTTATCCGTGACGCTAAAAGGCGGCATCTCATAGCTGGAGGTGAGGCAAGGGCAAGCGTTGCGGTAGTGAGGAGGCTGGGGCTTTGAGCGTACAGAGCCGTGGAACGTAAAGACGTAAGCGCTCCTAATAAGGCGGCAGCAGGTGGTGGATGATTTGTATAGTGTATTCATGTATATACCGGCTATATCTGCCGTAGCTACCCAGGATATAGGGTTATAAACAACACCATATATCACGAGTGTCATACGAATAACGATCGTGCTAGGTGATGTGAAGGTTCGGAGGGCGTGAATCGGACCTGTGTTCTTTCGTCTTTTGTGCTCCTTGATAGCGGTTTGGAATGCTCCTTGCCTATACGAAGTTCTAAGATTGTGATGTAAATGTTTGGAGGTTATTAATCGGACCTATGTTCATGTGTATGTTGTATTGAGCACGGCGCATATTGCGTTCGTTACGGTAGAGCGCTGGAGAGTTAGATATGACTTTGAGGGGCTTCACGGTGCTGCAAGTCTGGAGGGCAATGATGTAAAGGTTTATACACCGTGAACTAGGCCTGTGTAAGTGTTCGTGTTAGGGGGCGGGATAGGTAGGACTTTAGGGGACTTCATAGTGTTGTAAGATTTTGGATCCTAGGTGTAAAGATCCGGACACTGTAAATTAGACCTTCGTTTAAGCACCAGGAAGCTTGCAAATCGGATTGTGTGAGATATCGCGCTGGGGGTATGGATAGCATGTTGGGGCACCCTTAGTGGGTATAAGAATTTTAGAACCATAATATAAAGATCTGGACACTGTGAATTAGACTTGTGTTCGTTCACTATGCACATCTCAAATCGCACCATATAAGCTGTTACGCTGGGGGTGTAGACAATACGTTGGAGGACCCCAGGACATTTAAGGATTTTAGAACCGTGATTTCGAGTTCCAGACGTCGTGACTTAGACCTATGCTCTTGCACCAGATACCTCTTAAATCGCATTGTGAGCTATCGCGCTGGGGGTGTGTGTAGCACATCGAAGGCCTTCAGGAGTTTTTCAAAAAAGCACGGGCGAATATCATTTCTTGGAGCGTGTGAATTGTACCTGTATTCATTCAATACTCACATCTCAAATCGCATCGTGTGAGATATCACTTTGGGGGTTGTACGCAGCCCACTTCAGGACCTTCTCAAAATTTCACGAACGAATGCCATTTCTAGAAGCGTGTGAATTAGAACCTAGCCATCTATTTTTTTGCACCTTCTATGAAGTGTTTGTAGCCCCCTGGGGATATTCGAAGTTGTAGTGGAGAGAAGAAGTTTAGTTCACACCAGCGAGTCCCCAAATCTGTATAGCCACGACCTTGCCGCCTTCCGTGAACGTTCCATTCACCGGTGCGATGACTCCTCCGCAAGTGGTACCGTAGAGGGGGCCGTCTGTTCTGCTCCTCCATGCAAGAGCAGTGATGCCCGCTAGTGCCGATGAGTTCTTAGAACCAATGGTCCACACCACCTTATTGTCCTTGCCGATCACGGTCACCGTGTTTGTTGGGTTGCCTGCGGCCCATATGTTCCCGGCATAGTCGACAGCGAAGTTGTCGACGGTGAGCTTGGCTGCGAGTTGGTTGAAGACGCTGCGTGTGGCGCCAGAGGCGCGATCGATAGCCACGTTGGTCAGCGTCTGCTTCGCAGTGTCGGCATAGTAGGCGTACCAGATGTCGGAATCCCATCGTAGGCGACCTTCATGCCGTTGAGGCCGACTGGTAGTCCTGCAGCGGGGAGCGGCTTCATCGTGTCGTCGCACAGGAAGCGACCATACTCTTTTGTGTTCACATTGAGCTTCCAGATGCAACCTGCGGTGCTATCTGAGATCAGCATATTGCCGAGGATGTCCAGGTTCGTGATGTCGCTCAGGACGCCAGCTTCGGGGATATCGGCGATCTTTTCCACATGAACGTCGTTCTTTTCAGAGGTGAGGTCGACGAGCCAGACGCTGCTGCTCGAGGGTATGGCGGTGAAGGTCATAAGGGAGAAGTTGACAGCAGTGACAGCATAGCGGTCGTGATCACTAGAGTTAGCGTTGACTCCTGCGATACCCATGAGGCCCGTGGCGCCGGGGAAGCGGTAGATCAGACGAGCGTTGCCGCTCGGGTGGAGGGGAGTGCTATTGATCGGGTCAAAGACGGGATCAATCTGCCATAGCTCTGGTACATCGAGACGAGTGACAAGGAGAGCGCCCTATTTGTAGATATTTAGTGTTACACTCCAAATTCGAGATCTTCCATGAAGCCTTCTCTTACATTCTGCCGGACCGCGAGATTCTCTACCCAAGCACCTTTAGGAAACTGATGAAGAGTCTGGATGTTCGGATTGAGGGGATCTGGAGAGCCAGAGACGGGCAAGCTATGAGCACCAGAGATGCAGAGCGCGCCTATCAGTGCACAAAAGAGCTTCATTGTGCGGAAGGTTGGAGCCTGTAGATTATGATAAGTAGAGGCGGTGGTGTTTTGGTAACGAAGGAAGAAGTTGGTGGTGAAGAAGCACGGGGGAGAAATGAGGAAGTATTTATAAGCCAGTGATGATAGAGGCACAGTGCTGGTTTTGGACGCTGATGACAGAGGGAGAGTGCTCGGAGTCTCTCACTGCAGAACAGTAGCAAGTGATTGATTATGCCCTTGGTTGTTCAGAAAATCTTCCTTCGCAACTACCATTTATCAAGAAGCGACTGTCGCATGAAACGGTGACTCATTAGAAAGAATTCTATAACTATTCGGGGAAATGAGGTAAAATTACATGTTTGATGGACGCGTGAAGTGTAACGTCACTTCGGCCCACAGTTGATCCAAGACAGCTTGTAAAGTTGCGTAGGGTCGATGCTCATTCATAACATCGGAAGAGCCTTTCCTTCACGCTCCTTGCCAGTGATTCTCCTCTTCTGCGCCGCTCTCATTATGTCTAACGCCTCTTGGTCACTGATATCAACCAGGTTTTCCACATCGACATGTTTTTTCGCCAAGGTCTTTGCGGATATGAAATATCCTTCGATATTGATGCTGCCCGGACTCTGCATAACGCGCTTACAGAAGTCGGTATAATCGGTGAAGCACATCCTACTGCCCTCAAGACCTTCCAATACCATGGCGAAGCAATGTGGCATTGCCTCGAAGCGATCCCAAACGACCTTGACGCCCTGTCTTGCAAGTCGTTGCGCAAACACTGAAGCTTCGTCCGCGAGAGTCTCATCCCCTGAGACTACGAATATAGGAGGGGAATTTTCCCAGGACATTGCTGCTAGAGGAGAAACCAATGGATGACACAGTGCGCTGCCCTCACAAAATAAGTCTACCCTAGGAGGATCGGTGGGCCAAACAAAGTCTGGAGGAAATGTGCTCTTCTCTGTGATACTGGGCGGCGGGAGATAATCGTATATAACGTTCCCTTCGATCGATGGTAGCGAGCGGGTAACGTCCAGCCAAGGCGAGAAGAGTGCTACGCCAGCGGGCAGGGGAATCGTGCAGATCTTGTTGTTCCAAGAAACAGACGGCAGCTCATTAGGAGCACAGCTTCGGTGCAGTTGAAGCAAGAACTGAAGCAGAGCTGTAGACAGATTTCCACCAGCGGAATCGCCACCGAACACTATTTTTTCTGGTGGGACTCCAGCATGGTAGGCGTCGTCTGGAGGGTAAAGAAGAGACATATATGCCACCAGAGCATCCAGAAGCTGAGCTGGAAAGGCGGCTTGAGGTGCTAAACGGTATCGTACGGAGTATACTCGACCGCCGGTCATTCTGGCTATCTTGCTAGTCACAGGACGATGTGTCGAGGGATCCATGAGAAAATAGGCACCGCCATGGAAATACAGCACAGTCAAGTCGCTTGTGACTTCTTTCATGAGATTCTCGTATTTCTGCTCTTCTGATATTGATGGCTCGGGCGCATCCTTTGCTACGTTTGCGCGGTATCCGGTCCACTCGGCTTCTACTGGAAGCAGCGGCGGTTGCGTATATTTCTCATCGCCTTGTTTCATTTGGTCGATCGTCTTGAAAAGTAGTTGGCGTAAGTCGTCCTCAAGTGGCACAGGCGCAGTGACCCGACTGATCCACATGTCTCCTTTGACTCCCGGATCTTTACACGATTGATACTGTTGCTTGGATATGCTGGAAGGCTTTCCGGGATTTGCTATCAATTGGCGGAGGATGTTGATAACAAGCTCGGTCCGTAAACTCCATTTCGAAGAAGTAGGAGACAGCCATAATGAATGCAGCAGTGCTGTCTTGAACATGAAGGGAATATTAGGGGTGAGGACCTTGAGCAGTGCAGACGGGGAGGAGTCCATGGCGGCGGCTGAAATGCAACAAAGGCACAAAATGCGAAGACAATACGAGAGAGTTAGTAGGGAATAGGACTTCAACAGAAGCAGGAAAGCATTTTCGTGGTGACATTCGAAGGGCGGACGTCACTTCGCCTCGGTACTTCGCCTGTGCCAGTTCTTAGCTCCCGCCACCGGGCTCTCGTGGATACGTCAGTCCATCAGGCCTTACACGGTCCAAGAAATGACATTCGCTCGTGAGATTTTGAGAAGGTCGTGAAGCCCTTCGATGTGCTGAATACGCGTCCAAAGCGATAGCTCACATAAGGCGATTTGAAACGCACCTAGTGCATAAACGTAGCTCTGATTCACAACGTCTGGAACTTGGCATCACAGGTTCAAAAGATCGCATAGGCAAGAAGCACTCCAGACCGCTATCACGCTGCGCAAAAGACGAAAGAACACAGGTCCAATTCACGACCTCTAAACCTTTACATCACAATTTCAAAATCTCGCATAGGCAAGAAGCACCATACGCCACTATCAAGGTGTGCAAAACAGAAGTTCATAATTCGTGATTCGTGACTCGTTACAAAAGGCTCCAAAGGCAACCGCTCCGAGGCCCCCTTGGGGTGCTCTCTTTTTTCCCAAAACGCCATGCTAAACGCTCACAAAGTGTCCACCTAATGCTCAAAAGAAACGCCAAAAGTAACCACCCAGTGGCCCTAAGAAGTGCCCAAAGCGCCCACGCAATGCCAAAAGAAGTAACCAAAACGCCCACGCAATGCCCAAAAGAAAAGCCAAAAGTCCCTACCCAGTGTGCCTAAGAAGTACCCAAACTGCCCACCCGTTGTGCGAAAAAAAGAAAACCAAAAGTACCCACCTATTGCGCCGAAGAAGAAGAAAAAGCACCTAAATTCCCCGCCTCAAAAATAAGAAAAAGGCCCGGAAGAGCCAGACAAACGGACGCAGAGCCAGCGACAAGGTCACGAATGGTGGCTCCGGGGCCCAGTCGTAGACTCCGAAGCCTTTCATACTTTTCGCGTACGCTGGCTGGCAGAAGTAGGTACTAAAGCAACTATTAGCACCAGAAAAAGGTACTCAGAAGGGTAGAAAGACTTACCAAAGCGTCGACTCCACGATGTACCACGCAACCAGGCCAAGAAGCAGCAGAATCAACCATGTCGGGGCAGGGTCGCGGAGGCCTCGTCGTGGTGCCATTTGATGGTAGCTTTGGCATTTGCACGCTCTGCAGGTGCTTCGGTCGCTTTTTGCGACGCTGACGCTCTCCTCCAGACGCTGCATGCCCTTGTTTGCGTCCTTTATCGAGGAACGCGTGGCGAAGAGGCGGGCGTTCATGTTGGAAAGTTGGCCCATTTCGTGGCCTCGCTGGGTGTTTTCGGTGGTTTTGGTGGTTTCAGGACCGAGAGAGGGGAGGATTTCGGTCGGAGATTCGACGGTCTCGTCATCTCCAGGCATTGCGACCATCTTCTCCAATGAGTTGATGGTCGAATCGCTGTACGCTCTGTGGCGGTTTTGGTCGGTTTTCCCGGCATTTCTCGCATCAGCAACAATGCGTGCCAACGCGGAGGTGGGTAGGTTGCGTGGTCGGGGGGTATTTGCGGGCAGTTCTTCTACGAAAGATGGGGACGTTTTCGGTGCAAGTAGGCGACTAAGGGCCCGCATCGTGTCCGCTGGATCTTCCTTTTGGACCGTCTCTGGAATCGGGACTTCAGTCTTCTCGATAACTTCCGTTTTCTTTTGCGGTACGGAGGTGTTCTTGATAATCTCCACTTTCTCCTGCGGCACGAGAGTCTCTCTGACAACCTCCACTTTCTTTTGTGGCACGGGAGTCTTCCTGGTAGTCGCAGACCGCGGAGCACCCATCTCCAGAATGCGGCGTTTCAGAGACTCAGTCGCGATCCTATCTGGTTCGGACACAGGTGGTGAGGGGGTCTTGCATCCAGCACCCATGTACAGAATGCGGCGTTTCAGAAGGTCACTCGCGATCTTGTCTGGTTGGGACGAAGGTGGTGAGGGGGTCCTCGGTCTTTCAGCCATGTGTGCAACAGCAGGAGTCCCAGCGTCCAATTTCGAGGGCCATTGTTCCTCGGTATCTTCGACGTCGTGATTCTCGTCATGATTCTCGTCGTGATTCTCATCGTAATTCTCGTCCAATTTCTCGTCCCATTGACCATCTTGATCAGCAGCTGAAGCAATTCCGGCGTCGTAATCCCGCGGGAAAACGTGTCCGAAAGGCACGTCTTCTTCAGGTGCAACTGGAGCCTCGTCCACCGGCGTCATGAAAACGTCCACCTCGGGTATCCATTTTGCCACTTCCTGTGAGCCATTGAATCCTGTCTGAGCAGGCTGGCGACGGGACAGAATCTCCGCAGTCAAAGCCCCATATTTGCGTGCTTTGCGGAAAGGCTCGACTCTCTTCCCGGAAAGCAGCTCTCGCAGGCGTTTCTCTGCTCGTGCGTTCTGAATCATGAGGCGGCCGAAGTCGTCTTCCGCGTCCTCCAGCGAGCTGAGGCCAGACGATGCCACCGAGACGGCAGGCGATCTGCGAGCAGCTGAGGTCCACAGGTCGGTCTCTGTGACCTCGGGTGAAGTCATCTGGGGTGGTGAAGGTCCGGAGTAGAGGTATGGTGGAGCGGGAAGACGGTAAGGAAGCATGGCGATTTCGGGGTGTTTTCTGTACGCAATTGATCGGGAGGGTAGAGTTTGAGATGAGAAGAGAGAAATTCTGATGGTGCGGGGTGTGGTTGTGGAGATCTGATAGCTGGCTGATCGCTGGCGAGAGAGTTTGTGAGGAGACGGAGGACGACGCGTCGCGGGGAGAAGATAAACTGGCGGCCTGGCTCGTGCGCGCCCCGCCCAGTTCGGCGCGTCGACCCGCAGGGGTGGCGCGGCATGGCGGGTAGGGCTGCATATGGACCCGCAGTGAATTGCAGATCGTGGAGCCAAAAAGATTAGCGTGTGCGCGCTAGAGGCCCGAGGCTGTGGGTATGGGGAAGTTGAGGGAAGTCGCGATGGGCGGCTTCACCACCTCAGCGGGCCTGCACACTGTTACATCGGTGAATCTGCCACAATGACGCGCGGTCCACTCACTCATTTTCGTCTGGGCTGATGCTACTATCGAGGTGTTGCTTCCGTATGGGGTAGCAGGATGTGGGCGTGGTGTTGTGGTGTGGTGTGGCAGGCCTGGGTCTAGATGACGGACGCCGTTAAGAAGCTGGCTTTAGCCTTCACCGTTGATGAAAATGAGATGAGAAAGGAAGAAAGGAAGAGAGGAAGAGTTCATGTAGGCAGATATGACATGTGATTACGAGTTTTCACCGCTTGTCCACGGGTTCAAAGGTCGACAGCCAACAGAAACTAATAGCCAAGGCAGTGGTGCAGACTTGTCTTCTACTGTTTGACGCGCTTTGCTCTCCCTTTGAAACTCGGAGGGACTGTGGAAAGGTGGCGTAAGTCATGTGATCAAGGATGACTGTCAGCCATGGGGGCAGTATACTACCCTGTCACGAGGTAGCGTAAGCATATCTACTACTTTTTAACGTGCTTCAACACGCTTTCGGGGTGCCGAGAATATGTGTTTTATCCCTTTTGGTCAGTATGGTGCCTCTTTGGACCACCTTAGACGGCGTTGCCTGCGACCTCACATTTTTTAGGGCTGGTCATATTGATCAAGTTCAGAAGTATTATTAGGTAGATCAAGTAGCAAGCATGTGTGCAAAGAATTGAATATGGGGTGTGTACGATTCCATATTGATGTCACTGTGTCTAGTTCCTGATCGTAAATCTTTCTGCCACTGTCTGCAGTGCTCCAACGCATTTCAAACTTATGTAGCAAATATAGATGTGGGGTTATGACTAGCTGAGAAATGCATCAAGGCAACCCAAACATCGTTAACCTCGAAGCGCGGACTTCCTTTCAAGTCCTCAGGAACGCCTTCACAGCCCTGCCCCATACGACTCCCCTCTTGTAAACCGCCATGCCCGGTACACTTCCACTGCTCAAACCGTCTATCGCATCAGCCAATGCCTCTCCACTGCCCTCTTCTTTCACCGCCCTGATAGGATACTGATATGTGCGGAACGCAAATACTAGCGCCTGGCTCTTTGGCAGTCGATGTAACGTCTGACGCTCACATCTGAGCACCGTCTCATCAATATTCACCATCTCTTCCACCGCCTCTTCGCCTTCATACAGATGGTTGCCACCTAGGCTGAACAGATTGGTATTGGTCGTGATGCTCCAATTGGTGCGGAGAACGATCTTGCCTGTGGGTAGAGTGGCAAAGAAGCGGTCCATAGACTTTTCAATCTTCGCGCCATACCCAGGCACCGGCGCATGAATTTCAGCGAGCTTGAGATTTAGCTTCTTGGGCGTGTCGAAACCGGAGGGGAAGCAAGTTATAAAGCCTTCGAGTTTGTACTTTCCCTGGTCGGTTGGAGACTCGGAAGGGAGGAGGAAAAGGAAGTCGGTATCGATGTGTTCCCCGAGCAGGCGAAGAGATAAGACTGCGTCTTCTGCGCTGATGGGAATCGTCTCGGACGTGATGCAATTGAGTAATTGCGCGCTCGTTCCTGGATATGAGGCTGGGATAAGTTTGAACATGGAACTGTACCGGCTCGGGAGATATGTCCCGAACATCCAGGCGTGAAACTCGTTGACAGCTGGCACGATGCTTGGGTTTGCTGCCAGAACATCATTAGGACGGTCTTTGATGAGTTGACGACGGAGATTGATGCGATCGACATAGGTCTTGTCTACTGCAACGAGCTCTGACATTGTAGTATTCTGGAGCGCTACATGAAGTCAGATAGGGCTCCGAGGCCTGCTATGAAATCTTACCCATTGTTAAGTGGTATCTGGGTTTGAAGGGTCGTATCTGGAGTGGCTCTATAGTTCGCCAATTGAAGTCCAGCAACGGGTCGATCTCATTGTACACATCTTTGGTCGGCGCTTGGTGACTTTTCAAAGGCTGATGATTTGGTTGTATCTGGAAAGCTTATCAGACATTGGTCCAAGGAAACCGACCACGGGTTGCTTGGTGGGAAGACGAAGACACTAGTAAGTCCCAGAGGCGACTTGTACGTGAGGAAAAACTGTCCGTGACTGCACAATAGCTTGGAGCACAACCTTTTCATCTCTTTTTGTCGCCAGTGATTTGACCCCAAACCATAGTACGAGTACAACGAGGACCATGCAAACTGGCATACCGAAAGTAGGGTTGTTAATTATATCCATGTCTAAACTGATTAATAGCGGAGAGTGTACTAGATGAGAGCGGAGCTGATGGTGCAGAACAAATTGTGGGAGAACTTATATAGTCTTGATAGAACAATAGCTGATCGGTTTGAAGACTTATAGATACGCCCACCCCGCGAAAAGTTTCCTATTTAGGTTAAGCGCCAGAAATCAAACTATGCCATGCAATGCGGAGTGCGAGGTATGCAGTCAGTTGAAGGGCCGGAGATAATTTATTTGAACCGAAGGCGTGATAGACGACGATAGACATTCCACAAAGCACCAAAAAGGCTGGGGAAACAGAAATCAATTTCACATTTCGCCCAAAGTCAGGGTCTCTATTAAACGGCCTGACGGCCAGTCGGCTAATACGGCAGGAGAGCTGCCCCTCTCTTCCTTCGTTGTCGATCTGATATTTGCACGGCTCCGAGGAAGTCGAACAATGTGCACAGCTTTGCGTCCAGCGCTGTTCTCGGGCTGACGGAATCTCGTGATGTGAGTTGCAGAGAACGAAGATCAGTCGGGAGATTGTAGCTTCTCAAAATGCGATCCAATGTTGTGGGATCAATGCACTTGACCTCTTCAAGTGTTTTCGGTGATCGAAAATCTTGTGGGAATACTCCATTTGAACACATTTTCGGCTGCAACTGTCCGTATTTCGCCGCCCAAGTGATTTGTCCATTGACGAATTGAACTAGGAGGTTTGTCCTTGAGGAAGCGAGAGGTTAGAAACTGTGCATCGTCCAAGTACTCGGGAGAGACCCACCTTCGAACAAGATCATCCACATTTGGCGGACTACAGCCCATCATCATCTCCGGGTCGAGTCCAGGTGGAGGTGGCATTCTCTGAGGAGGGCCATTCGCAAATGGCCCTCCTATCGCACCAAAGTAGTCGGGTCCGTCCATACCCGTGCGACAAGAATCGAAAGATGCATTCATGATGCGTGGGTTTCGGGCATCCATGTCGAATGGTGACGGAGGCAAGGAGCGATGGTAGTCGTCGTGTGGCATGGGGGAACGTAGAGTATGGGCGGCCATGATGACAGTGAGGTTAGATCTAGCTCAAATATCGCTACACCTAAAGTATTGGCGGTTTGAGTAGAGTTGAATATCCCTGTTAGCCTGGGGAGAGCATTCCTCGAGGTCTTATATGATGAGATAAGAAGCAAACATCAAGATGGCTGGCCACAAACTTGTAAAGGAGTAAACCTCGTTGTTTCATCAACGAATCGAGAGGTCAACGGAATGCAGCAGGCCGAAGCGAGTACGCAGTATGTATAAATAGAATGAAACGGGACCATAAAATTTGGAAGGAGACGAGACGACTTTCACTGCTCTAGTAACGTACTGTCGTTCCACAATTGGAGATCGTTCAATGGATTCGCATGTTATGAAGACTATTACGTCGCCTCATGGCGGTCAATTACCGGTGAAGCCGATCTCAAGGGCGAGCGGTGAGAAGCAAAGTATCTAGAGCGCCGGTGGGGGTGAATGGGACCTCCGTAGATGAGCAAACAAGTCGCCTCATCGCCTCATATCATGGCGCAAGCAAACAATAGGACAACGACTGGGCCCAACTTGTCGAATGAAAGCAACATAAACCGGCCGATCCGCTCAAAAAACCGCTCGTTGTGCCCAAGTACGTTTTGAGGATCTATGAAGGTCATCTGCAATCTAATGCCAGCTCGCCGCTCGAAAGTTCGACATGGAAAAGACCTGTCCTTATGAGATTGCTGACATGATAGTGACCAGCCGTGTTCTAGCAGAGTCGGCTAAGTGGCGAGTGTGATTGACATGTCTTCGAGCTCGTACAATTCTCTGGCCTTGCACATGACGACGTTGTCGGTGGAGACGCTGTTCACTGGCCAGATGACAATACCAAGTTCCAGGAATAGAAGTTGGTATTACACTCGGGCGAAGGCGTCCAGATTAATGGTAGCAAACTTGTGTATCTTTCGTAGCTCAAAGGCTCGTGCTACAAGGTTGCTAATCGTTGTTGCCAAATTTCACACATGAGGTGTCCGTTCCGAGTAGCCCGTGACACTGCAGTCCACTTCTCTGAGAAAGACGGTGAGGACTCCGGCAAGAGATCGGTAGCAGATGCAAGGAAACCAATCAAGAATCTCCGTTTCAGGTACTTGAAGAGCTGTCTTCGTGCTCTTCGTGTAGTTGGCGGAGCTTCACATCCGACAGATCCGTGTGATTTGTACCACTAAATGAAGCTGGAGAGTTGCTGCCGAGAGACGAAGGCTTCCCAATACTGAAGCTTCGACGATGGCCGTTCGGTCTCGCAACGAGGCTCGGGGCCCTTGGACGTGTCTTGCCACGCGCTCGCCCCCCAAACACAGGTATCTCGTAAGCTATGGCGCGCCATATATAGAGGAAGACGTCGTAGATAAGGAGGGCGGCCCATGGCCCGATGGTTAGGATGGCGAGAAATAACTAGGGAAGGAGTCAATTAGCACCTTTCTCAATCATAAAGTACTCCAAATTCAAGCTCGGTTGGAAGCTCACGAAAATGCGGGTTGTCCATGTTTCAAAGGCACTGAGGTTGTCTGGGAGAATTGAAAAGAGCGCCATGGCTCAAGAGCACGGTTGGGAGAGGGTTTCGATCGGTTCGGAGAGCGTCAGTAAGATGGATTAAACGGTCTTAAATAGATTCTGGGGGACCCGCGGGCAGCAACAAATGTTGAGAGGGCAAGGTTTGTTGTGGAGGATAGAACTACTGCTAGGGGCCTCGGGAGAAGCCCCACCAGCCGCCCGACACGCGTCACGTCTCCTGACGCCGCGTCTCCATCACCAAAGGCACTCGGAGGCATCAGAAGACGTTTCTACACAATTGTTGCCAGAAAGAAAAAGCCCATGTCGAAATAGAGTCCCATCTTTCTTATGCCATGCTACCTATTGTAATATAGCGACCCCACTCCAAGCGGGTGACTCCCGCAGCCTTCCACGGTCGAGGCTGCGCAACCAACCTGGGTTACACACAGCGATGGTCGAATAGGAAGCGTTTTAATTATGGAATATGTGCGAGCCCTGGAGACTCTAGAACCAAGGTACAGTAAGAGTTCCGTCCAGTCGTAGGCTGGAAATGCACGATGCCGGTCCCGTGGCCCGCCCCGCTCACCTCTCACTATTTGAGCTGGACAGTCTGGAACTGCCCAAGTGCTGGTGACAGAGTCATTGCTTTATATTTCCCTTCTGTGACGGGGAGTAGCTACGGAGTCAGAGAGGTGAGGCTTCGTCGACGGCTACTTACGCTGGCCGATTGATCTGTTCTCACCATCATTGCAGCCTAATTTGACAGAGCGGAGTATTAGCGGTGCCTTGCTGTCCTCGCCGCTGTCTACGCATTCTGACAGCCTGGGGCCTCTCAACACAGCCTGGTGGAGTATTACAACCTCAGCTACTACCTCAATTCCCGTCACCTCTCACCCCTCTTCTCTCAGCCCAGACCTCTTGTTGCATCGCGAACAGCTTGAGCGAGAACTGGCGACCACCCCTCCCCCGCAACGAATCCAAAGCTTCACCAACATGGCCAATTTGGATTTCCTCGCCCGGTTCCCGGCGGGCAATGCGTCCCTCAGCGTCGTCGCATCAGATGGAGTCATGACCATCCACAATCTCCATCCTGGAACCATTGGCCGCCGGTGTCCACTTCTAGAGCTATCATTTGAGCAAGGCGCCTCTGGAATCCCTAGAGCGAGTGTCGAAGCAACGTCTGTGGACCTCGTCGTGCACTTTCTCCGCTTCTGCTACACTGGCGACTACCTCTCCTACGATGACATGGGCGCTCTACCTTTCTCACTACTCATGCACGCTCAGCTCTGTCGCATGGCAGAGATCTTCGAAGTACCAGAACTTCAGGCTTTAGCCCATACCAATGTCATTCGAGAGACTGAGCTCGCCTGTAGCCTTCCGTCGCCACCACTTGACCTCTGCCCGGCAATTCGCTTCATATACGAGCATCTAGCGGACCAGAGACCGCTTGTCGAAACCATTCTCCACTACTGTGTCTACTGCTTCTTACAGCATAGACTCGGGACGGACGACTCATTCCGACAAGTCGCCTTCGAGCTGCGACCATTCCACCAGGATCTATGTCGTACTAGCTTCCAGCGGGGTTTCCAAGATGACGGTGAGTTATTCTGATATTCACAATATTACGGGCACTAACAGGGGTTTAGGAGCCATTGATATCGTTCGTCTGCCTGTACAAGAATCAACCCCACACTCGATGCAGGAACTCGGCAAGCTCGCCCTCGGCGATTTCCTCTACGGACTCTGGTCCGGCGACGTTTCCGACCTTCCCAAGGAGCTGGGCGAACAGGACCACGGCGCAGTCCTCCCGGAGAGCGAACACACTTTAGTGTACAGACCAAAAGTGGTGGATTCAAAGCGAATTGGAACTTCCGAAGACGACGTTTATGGCTACACGCTCGTCCACCTCCCGAAATACGCTTCGGAAAGCGGACCCTCCAATCTCATGTCCAATGCCCAGTCCCAGGATCCTTCGAGCGATCTTCCGCACGCCCAGCGTCCTTCAATTAGTGTACAGACCGACGCGGACACCGAGAATCGGGAGAACTTGGAGGACTGGACGATTACATCTCCAACGACCAACAATACCTCAGACTCAGACTCAGAGTGGGCTTTCGTGTAGAGCGTGGCAATGGTTTCAATGTCTTCAAGGCCATTGTGGATTCCTTAAAAAATCCGCCGACACAGTTCAACTCGCTCAGATGTACTACCAGGTCAGTCAGGCTCATCAAAAGGATGGCAAGCAGGCTGACAATCAAGTAATAAGAACCGTTTGATATATCCAGTGCCAATCCCCTTTGTTGTGGTAGATGACGCCGAGAGGGCAAGCGAGTTTACAGTCTGTTCAAATCATTGACTTACATGTGTTCCAATTTTTAGAAAGAGATGTGAGGCCCTCTTGCAAATAGAAGAAAAGTTTATAAGGACTATTCAAGGGCGCTGTACATATGCCCGGTGGAACACGACTACGCGCGGGCCAAGTACCCGTTAGTCAACTCCCTGCGCGTAAATATGGCGCCTCACCGAACCCTCAAACAACGCCACCTGCGCCTCTCTTTTAATACCAATCCTTGCATTACCCACTTGAAGATGTGAGCAAGCACGCAACCCCTCAATTATGTTCTGCCTTCTGCACTATGATACCCTTTTTCTGTATCTAGAACGACGGCTTATGTTGGGAGGTTTCCACTATTCACGAATGGTAACCTGGGAAGGAAAAGGCCTACTCTCAGAAAAACGAGTCGCACCCTTCCGAAAGGCGTGCAAATACGGACCGCTGAGAGAAAGTGGTTGAGCGGGAAAGGTAGACCGACTGCTAATTAGATAGAGAGGCGATATTGGAACGAATACTGCTCCGAACTTGCTAGTGAGACTCAAATGTGCCTATTTGATGTGTCTGTAATCTAATATTATAGAAATGAAATGGTGAATGGTGACAGCAAGGAGATGTGCCAAGCCACTAATTCTAGCGGGCCAAAACTCCAGCCAGCTTCCGACGAGAGAACCTTACGACCGAAGAAGCTCTCCCAGTTACCAGCAGCCCTGCACATCACCACAAACCCAAACCTCACAATGCTCGCGCAATCACTCAGGGCCTCGGTAAGCCTCAATTGCCTGCAGTAGTCCGACACCATCTAACAATGCCTCGCAGCGCCAATCGCTCGCCCGCGTTGCCTGGCAGCAGGGTGTCGCCGTCTCGCGTCGAACCTTCATCACGCCCACGGCCGTCCGCCAAGGTAACTTTCCATCTAGTAGAGCCCATCGCCAGGCTCAATTGCTAACGAGCGACTCCTCCCAGCCGACCTCGTCCAGGACTTGTACCTCCGCGAACTGAAGAACTACAAGCCGACCCCCGTCAAGGCCTCGGATGCCGAGGGCCACGTCCAGACGTTCTCCATCCCCAAGGCGCCGCCGTCCCCCGAGGAAAGCGACATCGCGAGCGACCTGAAGTCGTACGAGACGCAGCAGGTGGAAATTGAGGGCCAGGCGGAGAGCGGCGCCGCGCCGGTGGAGGAGGACTGGTTCGAGGCCGAGGAGGAGGAGGAGGAGGCGGCGGCTGCTCATTAGATTTGCGTGCGAGCAGGTGGTCGGATGGCACACTGGCTGGAGCGATTGTAAAACAGCATTTGTTGAATGTGACTATATCAATCTTTTGATTGAGTCTTAGCTGGAGATGCCGCGGGATGAGTGACTTGCGGTGTGTGCTTGTTATTGGGGATGAAATGACCCAATGGCGTTCCCTTCTAATCTGTATTCACGCGTGTGCCATCGTTGGTCGGGAATTGGCTGTCCCTGTTGCTCCCTGGAAATTATACAGCGGTTTGTATCAGGTCTTGAAAGGATCTACAGTGCATCGGCATAAGTCTATTACACTAATTACCCACCGCTTGAGATGCTCAGCCTACTTTCCAAAACACATCAGTTTACGTGAGCTCTGCCCCTTCTTTTAAGTGGTAGCATTCGACCGTATGGGCGGCCTAAAGAGTCATCAGACTCGTCGAAGGACTGAAGTTAGGTTTCGTCTATATCCACGGGCTCAGACCTCTAGATATACTGATTATGAAGTTGCGTTATTTCATCAAAAGCAAGGACTAGAGCCAGTATGGGCGTCCGAAATTCATCAGACCGCTTCAGCATCGAGGTTTAGTGTCGATCAGGCGATTGCTCTCTGGTTTGTATGTTGATGTAGACCTCATCTTTGGATTCTTTTTGCGTGTCCGACACCAAATCTCGGCATGGGAGGAGAGTTGAGAGCAGTCGACAAAAGGTCGTATAGAGTTTAAAGAAGGAATCTGCATCACTTGAGATATGGAGAACCCTGCGCATTTCCGACCTGTTTACTCTGTTTAGTAATAGGCAATCGCTCTTGGTGTGCATCTTTCTAGAAGAAATGCCTGCCATAATGCGAGGGCTTGAATGGGTTGGACTGCGGAGGATAGGGAACTTTATTGTGGAAGAGGAGAGTGCCGTAGGTAAGAGTCTGATGATGGTTTGGAACGAGCGAGAGGATAATCTTGGATCGAGGTAAAGGGCGGGGGAAAGTGACTACGGGTCCGAGTCGGTAGAAACCCTATTTATTTGTACATGTATTGAGGTGCTCTAAAACGCTCATTATTCTATCCAAGATAGATAACAATCTAGTAAGGCTCACAGTAACCAGACAATGAGAACTCTATGAGGTGCTCTAAATGAGCAGAAGGCGACTACACGCGACTAGTGATCTAATCGCCTGCAGTAGTTACTGTCGGAAGAAGGTTATTAAGAAAGTTAATACGGTCAGAATAATGCTATTTTTAGCAACTTGACTTGGCGCATGTCGGGTCTACACTTTTGGAAGTGTAGAAAGAGGTTAAGAGGATAGTCATGGGAGAGACTGGAGGCAGAATGTATATATTCGAGAGGGGATAGACTAGCGACTAAGACGCGCTAGGATGAAGGTGAGGAGAAGAGATGGTTGTCTCGGTTGGGCTGGTGTTCGTATTGAGGCTCGCGGAGAAACCCGACGTATCGATTTCACTTACTGTATAGTTTGAAAAAATTTGCCAGCGTCCATCAAACAGGCACTTTGGCGGAGTGGTTAACGCGCGGGGTATGCATCACCTCCAGGTCATCCACACTTCTCATACTAACAGTACTAGCCTGCTAAGCCCGTTCCTTCGGTACGACTTCCCAAAGCTTGATGTTTGATCAGGTCACTAACAATCCTCAGGGAGCCTGGGTTCGATCCCCAGAGGTGTCGTAAGATATTCCATATTTTTGATCTTTTTTGCCCTTGAAGACAGCCCAAGAAGCTTCACGTATGAGAAGAGAATTCAGCTAAGGTCTTTCTATTTTTATCCATTATTATATCTACGTCTCTTCGTACCTTTGTAATGCCACGCGAAGGATGCGCTTGGTCTATCCGTAAAACTTGGTGTTATATCACCCCAATGTGCACACTGCCCAATCCCCACTTCTCACGTGACGATATGCCACTGTGCCAGGCAGGTTACAGGTGGCCGGGGAGACCTTGTAAGCTTTGTCAGATAGTCTTGGCGCACCCCACCCAACTGCACAGGCACCTGCATTCGCACCCCAACCTCACCCCACCCTCATCCTCATCACTTTACGCCATTGCCCCATTCCCTTCCGTTAACAGTTACTAAGGGCTCAAGCCCGCTGCTAGTATTACCATTCTGGTTCCCTTGGTCCCTTCTTTACCGTCGAAATGGAAGTTCTGGCCTATCTTCTCTCAGAGCCACTATCCACGTTGCCAGAAGTTGGCGTGGTTGACCCTCATCATACCACAACTCGAATTCTTCTCGGCATCCGAAAAACTTATGAAAGCGATGAGGAACATCTGCAACGCTTCTCTAACATCTTGCTTAATCTGGAAAAAGGTAGGTGAGTGCTGAGTCCCGACCAGGGCTTTGGTAGCGGCACTGTTAACGTGTATAGATGTGACTTTCGACGCCTTACATAAGACTCTTCCGTTCAGGTGGTCTGATGGCGAGAGATATGACGTAGTTAATCCGTTTGGCGATGATCGTCAGTTTCAGTACCAGTCCCTCTGGACTTTCGACATCCAAAATAACGTATTACGGTACACCAATCGCGACGGCTGTAGCCAAATCCTATTTGCTCTTCTTCGAGAGCGTGCTGTGAGTTTGACCGATATGAAACCGCTCGACGGACCTATACCCTTACCTTTCGAGCCGATTTTCGATCCAGAAGGGACCTATTGGCAACCGCAAATTAAGGTAGGTAACCGACTGCGTGCATTCACCCATCATTTGCTCCACGATTTCCATCACCAGTGGAGGCACATCCATCGGAGACGTTACAACTCCATCACTTTACGAGCACTTGGACGAGCTATTATCAGACTCTCAACTCTTGATTTTGAGGTTCGCCAGAACACAGGGGGGCATCTCCCTCTGGGAGTACATGTATGGATTACCCAGTTGCCTGCCTGGGAGCCATTTGAGAATGATATTGTACGTGTTGGTAGCATCTACGTCGTTCTCTGCCAAGAAATTCAAGAAGGACTGTCAATGGCCCGACGACACCTATCATCTCGAGACTTTATCAACACAACGGCTTCTGGGGAAGCGCAGGCACAGTACATGGTCCTATCAGTCAAGCATATCATGCTTTGTCATGTCACTATACAGCATTCACTCGAATGTACTGTTCCAGAGCCTCTTTTCAATGGCATTGAACCCCCGTCGGATCTAGCACTGGATTACCTTATCTGGGCTACCGCCTCCGCTAGACCTTGGATCTTTACACCTCTCCAATCGCTGCCTATTGAGGTCCAGAACATTATACTGGATTACGAGTCGATTGGGACAGTAGAAGCTGCTAAAGTTGGCTGCTTGCTTGGCTTGGGGTCACCATTCTTGTGGAAGGACGGTCCTCTTGAGGTTACACTAGAGGAAAGACACTTGACTCGCCCGTCAGGGTCAACTGTCGAATCCCAAATCTGGTTTGGTGAGCATAAGAGTGGAATAGTCTATTGGGCCCGAGCAAGTTCTCTCCGCCCAGGTCCCTTTGCCTCCAGCATTCTAGCGGGAAAATAAGTCACAATATCAGCTGTCAAAAGGTAACAACGCCTCCAAGCACCATTGTTTCAGTCGGTCCGAACTAATAACGATACGGCTCTATCTAGGAACGAGACTACTGCACTCCAACAATCCATATTTCTTTAGTGGCGTCAACTACACGCTAGACCTGGCAACTGGCGTAAGAAGGTGCAATCAGTGCAGGAGACATGGAGTTATATTAGTGTGCTAATGAGTAACTATATAGTTAGAGGACGTCTAAGGAAAAAGGAAGCATAGTGAGACAAGAGGAAGTGACAAACGTGCATCAGCAGCGTAACAGGACAGCGCAGAGTAACAGACACGTAGCAGGCGCGTCGCAAGTTCTGTAGTAGAGACAATGATGAAGCCGTAGTGCAAAGCTAGCTTCCAAGACCACCAGGTGCTCAAACAGGCTATAGAGACAGTGTAATGAATATGGCATTCCGTCTATATAATGTCAGAAACAACAAACTCCAAAACTCCAGTGAACCCCCAGCGTTCCCCCATACCAAGCACCTCCCATGTGCAGATTTTCTGTTTATGGTAAAACCCCAAGTGGGTTGTTCTTCATGTTTGCAAGCATGGTTGTGATTCTATTGACATCGTTTCGTAGGTATAAGCCGCCGCTCAACGCCGTAAGTATCCCGTGGTTCGCAGTGAAGAACTGAACGTGAAGCCCGATATGGATGATGCCGTAGACTTTCTTAGATGCGTTCGTTGTGCCTCCGCAGTGTGGCAGCTGGCGTAGGAAGGGCAAAGGATCAGTGAGGAAAGCATCAGTTGTATTGAGGTGCTAATGAGTGGCTATATAGTGAAGAGAGACCAGGGGTTGCAGGCAGCAACGGTGACAAAACAACAGGTGAACCCTGTCCAGCTGAGAAGTGAACCCTGTACAGCTGAGACGCGTAGACAGACGTGCGTAGGAGCATTCTAACTGGCTGCCACAGTGTCTGCTCAAGTGATCTCTCGTCAGAGGCCAGCTTCTATCGGCCCTCTTGCTCTCTACCAAACAGTAGTCATACGCATACATGCTACCCCCAGGGCGAGCAAGAATTTTGAGCACCGACATGTCTGCCTGTGTTTCACCGACAGTTGTCTCCCCAAGCGACTCCTCCTGGACAACATCGAATCCTTCAGCCTCCACGAAAAAATGCTTCAAGATGGCCAAGAAGGCCCTCCGGTACAAGAACTCGTGGGATTCGGGACTTCTTTCAACAAGTTGGAGGTGCGTTTGAACATTGGGCGTGTCCAGGTAAGTGCGAGGTGCAGGGGGGTTGGGATTTGTGCGTCTGATCCGTCCAGTTCGTGCGTTGCGCCTGCATGAGACAAGGGAATTACTTCTCATCGAGATCTCCAATTACTTGTAAGCATTCCAGATGACGATTGACACTCACCATTGCACCCAAGATTTGGAGATATCAAGTGTCCATGTGTCCTGAACGGGATCAGCACAGCTCGCTTCTGTTAAGATCTAGCATATACACACCGCTGCTACATCCTCCCACCCAGCCGGGATTGCAAACTGCGTAGACCCAGTATCTACCCGTTCGTAATAGTCTTCTCCGGCAGCATTTGCCCATTGTCTCCAGCCACCGCCAACAAAGGTTCCGAGTGCATATGCCGAGGTGGAGGGAGGCGGAAAGGGGGCAGCCATTTCAAAGATATGTGATGTTGAATGCGTAACTGTCAAGATTGGCCGGTATTGAAAATGCGTGGATAAAGATATTGAAGTTGCGTGGATGTTGAGACTGAGTAGATATTGGGAATTGGAGAGGTGTACTGGGCATATATACTTACTATCGTACCTACTTCGCTTTCTAGATACATATTCCGTTTCATCTTTCATCATATCAAACAAGGCACAGGGCTTCATCTGCGTGTCCCTCGTTCTATAATTGGTTGAATACTGCTAGAGGAGAAGATGCGGCGTATGCAGCGTTTCCCTTCTACCGGTACAACGCGCGCGCGTAGGATCCCAAAATAGATAGTTCGATTCATGAAATGCATGGGCAGAGCAATCAAGGAGCTAGATATCTACTAGTCACATGCGGCGAGTTCCATAATTTTCTCTACTGAAGCTGGAGGCACGATTGTCCTTCGCGTAATGATACTGCCTGCTTGCTAGCGCTAGGGAGCTGTGCAGAAACATTTGCTCCCCTAGCTCAGTTTGGACAGACGCATTCTTGAAAGCAGCTGGCACTAGAAATCTCTTGTGGTGAACTCACTCTGTCTACCCAAAGACTTGAGATGGCACGCGAGTGCTGGTAGTAGAAACAAGGCGATGAACGAGTGGATCTAGTGAAGCCGATGGGGCGCAGGTTCATGTCTAACCCTAAACTTGCCGCAAGCAGCCAGACGATACGAGCAGGAAACACCCTAGCTCCCATTGTTGGTAGGTTTTGACGCACCGTTATTTAAGGTGTGGCGTAACGCGTTTGCCGCAGCGCGGGCGGCCAGAGTAGCAGGACTTGCCAAGGCTCTGAACAGTTCGTTCGGTGGATTCATGATCAGTTCAACCTCCGGACGATGCTCAAAGCTAAAGCGCGCCCCAAGCTGTGCGCGACGTCGAACGAAGGGGGTAGGTACTCCCACACCACCTTTGTTTACTCGAGGATGAATTATCACGCCTTTCACTCGTCCCAGCGCTCTCTGCTACCAAGATTATTCACCCTTTCCTACCGCCCGCGAATGGCGAATACTCTGCTACCTGTGCCGCCTCCGTCGGTACGCGCTTAATCGCTCCTCGGTTTCAGGTTCCCTTATTCTCCGCTTTCTCCCCTCAGGTTCACCTTGGAGGAGTTTCGGATCGGCGTCTCTTGGTGGTTTGTGGCTTCGTCTCAGTGATAGCGCCAATAAGGCGGCTATGTATCTAAAGAAGTGGTTGGATATGCCCTCTTCCATTTCACGACTGACTTAGTCATGCCAGATGATCGTTAGTGAACGGAATTTTGACGATCGAGATCTAAGACCGCTATGAAAACTTTATCAACTCATCCGCTTTTCGGATATGTGGCTTAATATATGCACAGAAAATCCTCGGAGCAAGGACTCGTAGAAGTTTCGTCGATGGCCATTCTCTTGCTAACATGTTGATACTAGAAGTAAAACGGCCGGAGAAGATACCTCTTCCTGAGGAGCGCCTAATGTCAATGCCGCTGACATTGCCCTACTCGGCGACCTGTTGAAACAGAACAAAACCTTGTGGGTCCACTCCTGTGGGGCTATTGTGCCGTTCCTTCTACATATCTGTTAATGCATCGTAAGGATACGCGCGCGTGGGGTGGCACAGCTTTTGTGGAGTCATGCTAGCGGCAGGCAGGATCGTTGCGAAACGGGTGTCTACACTGGACGGTGGACCTCTGCCTTGTACCTCTTTCATGGAGAAAACGTGCCACGACTTTGGTCAAGAGCGGCGTGGCCTGTAGTTATCTGTCAGGATACATAGGCCGTGTGTCGCTGAGATAGATGTTAAGTTTCCAAGCAGCAACGCAGCTACGAGCAGCACAAGGCTCGATCATCCTATAATACATAGGACAAAAGGCAAACACTTGCACTGACTGGAATTGTCTCTCGTTGTGTTCTACGTAGATCTAAATATGTCTATCTCTACTCAGATGCGTAAGTTTCTATCCGAAGACTTCCTTGGTTTTGTTGTTGATTTTGTTGATTAGAGAATGTCAACGTTCGGCTTTGCGTTTACCTCCTACCTATCCCAATTGCTGTCTTCTATTGTAAGATCCCTACATATCCATGACCTTGAGACTCTGCTTATTTTCGTATAGCCTTGTGTCTTACTGGCTGCGTATCTAATTCGCCCGGCATTCCGAACATCTTTGCTGTAAAGCTAGAAGGGAGAAACCCTTTAATCATTTCGGAGATATGAGTGGCTTACTTTGGTACTTCTATCACTTGCTGATTTTAAGGAAGTGCTAATTAATGACTAGGTATCTGCATTCTTCCCTCAGAAAAGATGACCTGTCAGTCCACCTCTGGCAAGATGGTTGATACTCTCCTCAAATCCATCGCCGAAAACTCTGACGCGATCGTCGCGGACCCCATGGGTCTGGTATCTTTGGCCCTGAATATTCAATCCAAGATTATCTTGTACCTCCTCGCGGCCGCCGGTGTTCTCTTCCTTAATGGGATGATTCTGACGCTCTTATTAAAGCGACAACTTAAGGCATCAACAAAGGACAACGCGATTGCACTGAAGCGGAAGAAGATGTTGAGAAGCGCTTCCCTAACAACGATCTGGATATCGGTTGGGCTTGTCCTAGCGTCTTCTATTGCAATCAGCCAGGCAACCGGAGCGATGGCATTCATCACTCAACGAGATACTGTCTCGACGATTCGCATTACTGCTGGAAAGACGCTGAGTGTTCTCCAGTGGTTGACCTTCTCATTCTCCTTGATCTTTGCTGTTGGTATATCAGCAATATTCCAGAAACAGGGCGGTGTGATCGAATCAGCTGGTTCAACCGGACCTCCCCGGCCCATGGCCGCTGTGGGTGGTCCTCCACCCCCACCCCCACCTCCCTCATACTTTGCCTAAGTGAAGATTTAGGACGTTGGAGAGCGATCGCGGACGGTTGGTACAGTTCAGCGTGGTTTGTAAGCCGTCCAATTCTCAATCCATCCGGCCGCCGGATCGACAATCCACACCCCTTCTAGTCTAGTCCAATCAAATCCGTGACCTATCACGGTCCAATCGGTTATCAATCCGACTGATCGTTTAGATCTATATAGCTTTAGTGTTGAAGTTCACGTGATGATGTTCTTGAAGGATCAAAATACTTTGATGTGACGATGCCACAATCTCATACCCCGACGGCACGGAAATAAGCTACAGCGGTACGGGAATGAGGTCCTCACATTTTGTAACATGCCTTCCGGCCTAATACGGATAAGATGGCCATTAGTTTGGTGTTGGTGAAGGCCCTAGACGCCTTGGGATCTGCTTTTAAAGAAGACAAGCCTATTTCAGGCGTAGCAGGTTCGGTAGAGGTACTAAGACTTACAACATGCTTAAAAGTATTATTAGATATTTCCCTGTCGTCGCTGTTGCAAATGCTATCTGATCTAGTAGTAGTATTGTACGAGGGTTCCGCCGGACGTGAATTCGTATCATGAGTGGAGGCATCCTTACCCTTGTATGTCCCCCAAATTCTCGGTCGCTGTAGCAACACTTGATGATAAAGTGGCGCAGATCAGCCTTAAGCTAATTTTCATTGGAAGGCTAGTTTACTCAAGAATTGGGGCCCTGAAACTAGAACCTGGCAGGCCTACGGGCCCGGAAGTGGGCCTTCCGAGGCAGGGCGAGGACCTCAGTCTCAACCCTCCATGTCGAATACAGGGCCCAAAACTGGGTTCCAACAAGCTGCTCAGTCTCGGCTTAGGATACGCTCATCTCAGCACAGCCACAGCTCAGGCTGGAGCATGAGCAGCTCAGTTCCCTGAACGGGAAAGGCAATTGCTCGGGTGCACATTGAGATATTGTACTTACTGTTATACATGAGACTTAGAATCAAACAGAGGATGGTTATCAGGACAGCTCTTCACGACTTCTACGCTCGAATGCTCATCTCCCCCACCGTCGCTCGCTTGAAATGAGTATCGTTGTCCTCTACCTACACAACGCGAGTGACTTGGTCCCAATCCTGTGCCAGCCAGAGATATGTCATTAAGCATACATATGCTACTCTCCAAGCTAGAAATCAGAAAATAAGGCCGAGAAGGATGTATACTACTAGCACGGTGATAGCAGTAAGGTCAACAAGCACTCCGACATGCTAGACGAGCAGAAGAAGAATGTTAGGCCCTGATGGTACGACAAGAAAGCGAGTGGTCAGTAAACAATTCACCGTTCCAAGGGTCTATAAGTTCTGGCTTTCAGGCTGCAGGGCCCAAAACGGCATGAAATTTAGAATAAGACGGCAGAGTTAGTGCTTCTCGTCACCACTGCACGGTGGAGCCTGAGCGTCAACCGAACTCCACCAGACCCAACGACGGCCATTCGGAGCTAGGGCGGGCCGTTATCTTACAGAAAGGGACTCAGCCTCGCATGTTTCAGAAGCATCGAAGTCCTTGATGGGCGACATGCAGGCCGCTCAAACACTAGTGGCCAGTGACAGAGAATCGGCCGTCTAATGGCGGAGATCCTACGCGCATTCCCTACGCATGACGCATGTTGGTTGGAAGCGACAGCAGAGAACATGGCTTCAAAGCTTCACATCTGCGCCCTCGGGTGCATTCACAACCACGGGCGCAGAGGAGGCCGCGAGAGCGGAGACAAAGAGCGTCGTCATTTCAGCATACAGCATGGTTGACCGGCATGGCGGTGCATACATACAGTGGACCCGCGGTGGTTGCGTGCCCGAGTCGACGGCATTGGCATGGACGTCGTAATCTCTCGATTGCGGTCAGCCTTCCCAGACGCATGACTGGCCGAAGACCCGTGGATTGACCAGTGGGTGCAGTGGGTGCAGTGGGTGCAGTGGGTGTGGCGACGTTCGGTAGCGGAGGCGATGGCTGAAGGATTCTGGTACCCTTAGAATATCGAACCTACTGCTGCACATTCTGGGGCATCGCACTGCCTAGCCACGATCGCCGTCGCCTCTTCGTCCTGCAGCCGCCGCCGCCTCTTTTCTCGAACGAAAGCCAAAAATAGGGCGCACGCCCGCCCGTGACCCCTGCGGATCCCTGTGAGATTCAACTTCGTCCCGCGCGCTGCGACAAGACAACCCTCGCTCCCTGTCCCAGCCTGAGCCGCCCCAGGCAATCTGCCGGACTCATCCACTGCTGCCAGGACCAGGACCCAAGTCTGAAGCCTGCTCGAACTGAAATCCTCCTGTCGTTACCATTGCTTTTCCGCCGCCGCCTCGAGAACCGGCCTCCAGCTCGTCCGCCGCCCTCTCCTATAACGCAATCCGTCCGCTGGCATTCGCTTTTCTGAGACGCTGCTGTGGATCCGCCTCTGGGACAGCCTCCTCGACCGCAGTCTGACCTGAGATTCCTTCGTTGTCGAGAAACATGACCCTTCGGAGCTAGACGACACCTGACGAAGCTCCTCCGACGCATGGAGGAGGGCCTCCTGCGCTCTCTTGCTCACAATGCACGCTCTCATTTCGCGCGCGAGCAGAAGCAACATGTCGGCCAGCAAGACCCGCTCGCGAGATCGAAGTGCCTCTGAAGTGGTTGCGCCTGGCGCCGACGACCTCCGCCAGCCCGAGTCCGCATACCTCCCTCGGGCTGCCAGCTACACATACTTTCCACACGTCAAGGAACTATTCGACGACTCTTCTTCCCTCGTCGAGCTCAAGGGAACCATCTCGGAAGACGAGCTCAAGTCGACCACCACTGCCTTGGCCCAAACGGACTCCTTCCATTCCTCAGGTGACTCAAGCCCGGACACCGAGACTCCTACTACAGACGAGCGCCCCTCCGTGAAGCGAAATGCCTCGCGCCGGTCGTCGAGATTCTTGCTTTTCAGCAGTCAGGATGAGGAGCCAGCGAGCCTTGAGACCACCGATATTGGCAAGGATAGCCAACCGACCACCCCGAAAGCAAGATCGCCCGTGAGATCAATGACGAGGTTACGGAGAAAATCTTGGATATCGTCTCGACCATCTTCCCCCACAAAGGAGGGAGAAAGGGACGCTGCGGCGGGAGACTCAGCAAAACCTGCGAAGAACTTAGACGCTGGACGTAGAAGGTCAATCGTCGCAGCAACCTTCAAGCTTGATAAGGATGGGCCAAAGGACAGCCGGGATAACTCTCCCACCCCGAGCAAACGGGCTGTTCTATCCAAGAAGCCGAAGCGACCGCTAAGTGCTCTGCTGAAAGGACCCAGCCCAGTCGAAGTACCACCACCGGTGAAAGTTCCGGACGTCCCACGCCTACCCAGATCTTTCTCCTCTGATCGGCTGCCTTTGGGCCCTCAATCGCCCACTTCTCCACACCAAGTCCCCCCAATACCAAGAAATTTATCCTCCGACAAGATCAAGGGCGCTAGGATCGAGCCCAGGAAGAAGGACGAGCTATGGAGCATTTTCAGGACACTGGAAGGTGACCTTCGCAAGTAAGCGGAGTACAAGTGCGATGGGTGTTCAGTTGCTAACTTTCGTTTCAGGTTTCAATCCAAGTCGATTGCTATGAAAACGAATGTGGTCCGAACCTCCCTCCTACCTTTTCTGCGAGCTTACGCAATACACCCTTCAAACAGCAAGTTGCGGCCTGAGGACTTGGATAGACGTGTAAACATCTTGAATGGTTGGTGGACTGGTCTTCTGGAGTTGCTCTCCGGCAGGAATAATCTGTCCATTTCAGGTACGGACCGCCCGGCAATACTGGAAGGGATTGCAGGCATCATGGAAAGGCCCGAGTGGAGACTGTCTCCATCACCCTTTTGTGCCCTTGCGAATAGAGCCGACACCGCGTCGACGCTGACTGCTAACTCGACAACGTCTCTCTCCTCTGGCGCCTCTGACTTCCTAGCGGAATCGGTATACCATAACGTCCGGAACATCTTTACTCAGAACTTGCTATCGCAGATGGCGTTCGTTGTGGATAAAATGTCGCTTCGAAACGCTGCCGCGAGTCTGGTGACTTTCTGTGGGAAAACTTGTGCCTATGCGTTTTTCTTCTGCCCCGGAATAGCAGATGCTTTGGTCCGCTTATGGGATCCCTCCCTGGATACTATGAGGCGCGTTTTGGAGGAATCCGGTATCTCAAGGCGAGATAAATTGGATACAGTCGCGAACCGGGTTGTCCCAATATTTCCACCGAGTCTCCATTCTTTAAAGTTCACGTCTATCATCAAAACATCGAGGATGTTGCGCGCAGCTGCTAACCCACCTTTGGGCACCGCCAACTGGGACTGGTATGGGCCTTGGGTAAAGCGTTGGACCGGGACTGAGAGCGATCTGTTTTATGTCTTTGTGAAGCATTATCACATTCTTGTCACCGAGTTCCTGCCTGCAGAACCTACTCATCTTGAACGGATTTGCGTACCAGGCTTGGTCATGGTACACGCTCAGATTCTGGAGAACCTGGACGCAACGCTCAACCGCAATGCTACTGCAATCCCAGCAGAAGAGCTTACCAACGGACCCGCCCCCATAACATTCGATGATGTACTCGCCGATCCCGATGCTACCGCTTCGACGGTTCCAGTACCGCCTGCGAACGCAACTCGGCTGATGGCGGAGAACCGTCTAATCATGTTGATTAGAGATTTCCTTTCCGACCGAGGTGCTTTGTATCTCACAGCCCGCCGTATGTTTGCAGAAGCGTTTGGCCATATCCTCAAAGCAGCAGCTAGAAAGATTTCCATCTACGATAGCCAGGCCTGCTACACTCTTTGCGACTTTTTGGAAGAAGCCCTTGTCATCATGGTTCGATATGACCAAAGCGCTCCATCGCAAGAGTCTGTTTTAGACTGGCCCTTCTGGCTATCGGTGTGCATGCAGATGGCGGCAAGTCAGAGTACCACGACCGAACTCAAGCTATATTCTTTCTTGTTCAGCATCTGGAACCTCATTGCTACTGACGAGAGCCGGAAGATGGACCTTTGTCTCAGCTTCTTGCTCGAGCCGGAGTTCTTCGAAAGCAGATTTAACCATTGGTGCCCGATGGTCCGAACCTATTACATGCGCTTGCTATGCTGGCGAATTGCGCGGTACGATGGGGAGGGTACGGAAATTGACACGTAAGTCCTAATGAGACAGTCATCGGCTCTTCCACTAACGTTTGGGACAGCGAAATCTTGAAGACATTAAATGACAGGCTACGATCCGTCTGGAGTCATTACTTATGGCTACGGGAAGACTCCGAACTGAAAGGGGCAAGTCCTCCGTCTACAGCACCATGCAACCCAGCACCAGGCCGGCGGTTACTCATAATTCGGAACGATAACCCAGTTGTCGCGAGCGGAGGACCTTTCCTGTCGTTTGATGGGGTGGTACAAAACTCCGCCACGAGACGATTATCGTCACTGGATGCAATCTCCGAGCCGGATTCGCGACCACCTTCCGCGCAGTCTACTGATTCGTCCGAGTTTGGTACCGGTGAAGAAGAGGCTGGCAAAAAGCGATGGAGTCTGCTCCGAAGTTTCATTAGTGGTACTCCGAAATCGCGATCAAAGTCACGAAGTCCAGGACCTACACCCAAAGAGCCTGTTGCTACCTCGCCTCCATCCAAAACATCAACGCCCACTCCGTCTAGACCCAATTCGAGGAGCGGCGAGCAACGTCCACCTCTAGTTTCGCACCGGAGTTTCTTTTTCCGTTTCTCTCTTGAATATGTCGATAAACGATTCCACAGGCCGATGGAGATGCGATTGTTTCCTCCCAGACTACCTTTGCCGGCACAAATGCATCTTCAAGATGAAGATATACTCCTCCCTCCCGTTACCAGCGCCAGGCCGACTGGGATCGTGGCACAATCTAGTCGATACGCCGGCCGCTCACTTGCTGAATGGGCTCTGGTTGTTCACGAATGCCAGAACTTCTTTGATCGCAGAAAGACCGAGGGTGTGCCATCGAATAAGCTTGTCGAGACACCAACACTCGCGGTTGAGAATTTCAGGATGCGGGGATAGACTTCCTTGATCGGCAGCTAATTGACTTCGGTTTTATCTCATTGTCTCGACCTTAGCGTATCCCGTACTGAGGCATTTTTTACCCTTCGACGAGTGGAGCTTAGTGGCTATTCTTCCTATGGGGTCTTCATGTACGACAATATTTCGGGTCTTTTAATTACTCCACGATGTAAAATACACGTTGATTCGGATGTGCGTGTTTTACATTGCCGAGGAGTTTTGGTCGCGCTAGAATGCACATTATCTAGCCTCATTTACAGGCTTTCGGATTTCGTAAGGGTTCCTGGGAAGGGTGGTATGGCGCATAGCCTTACATTCTTCTTTCTATTTCTATCGCAGACGGAATCAATTGGGAACGGTACATATCTCCGACAACAGGCGTATATAGAGGGTCGATAGGCCCGCGAAATCTGCATCCGCCGAGCGCAAACAATTCTTCTTATCCTACTCTCACGTGTTGCAATCCATCTCAAAACAAATACTACTGGCCTGAGGGACAAGTGCAACAATATATGCGTCATGCATCTTGATCGCGGGAGGAGCCGAGACAGTGAGGTGATTTGTTGGCCTCGAGGTATACGGCGGCTTCATTATTGCAACAGAGGAATTGACGGTATGTCAACCTCACACCACCTGCCTGTGCTCATGCTAACTTCTGTAATACGCTGCAAAAGCGTGCTGATTCATGTTAGGCATGCGATAGTCTTTCATGTCGAGAAACTCCATCTGCAGAAGTTTGACTCACTTTTACGTTGCTGACCGGCTCTCCAAAAGTATGCTGGCCAATCACTGGGCCCATTTGCAGCTGAACTGTGCTAGCTGCTCGATATCGCGTATGGTGGAGGGCGTACAGTCTCTGAGTCTTTGGAATACCGCTCTTCGAGTGTTCCACTGCACCGTTCAAAACGGTAGTGACCAAGGCGATCCCCAGCCTAAACCACGAGGAGAGATGCCACATGGAGGCGTTCACGGAGCGTCGAAATTTTCTCCGAGCCAAACATCTTTGACTTCACAGAGCCACGAGCGTCGCGACTTGAACACCTTCAACGGCTTCTAGCGACGCCACAGATTGATATTCACTTTGTTCTTCATTAGGCCCCCTCTTCGATCTCTGTTGCATCTCTTGCCATGATTGCGGTAAGTAGATGACGTCACTAGAGAGAAGCATTCGGGCCTGCGCAAGAGTTCACGCTCCCACAGTCCCGATCAGGACACAACAGCTCGAGGGAACTGGGAACATCCTCCATCCGATGGCTTTATTTAGACATTCTCCTCGGCCTAGTCTTGAAGGCTGTGACCCATGCGCACAATTGAAAGCGGACACGAGATGTTCTTCCGAGTGCGCCTCAACTAGCGACTAGCTTTTCCAATGGCTGAAGACCAGTACTCCAAATTCCCAAGACTAGTGGTCTGTTGAGGGGGAGAATGATCTCCGCTCGCACATATGACATGAATGCTAACCTGCCCTCTCAAGAAGTCGACAGGCTTTGAGAAACATCAGGGGATGCGGCTCGGCGGGCCCCTCGTCCTCCTGCAGGTTCGCGATGGTCTGGTTCCTTCCGCAATGTAATACGAACCACGACTGATAGTCCTTGACCGAAGGGTTCACTAAACGATACTGCAGCTGCAGCAAACTAAGCTCGACAGAATCTCCTTATTCACAATGAGTTACCGTGTCGTGTTTAGTATAAAGACATGGCGTCCGGTCCGCGTGGCGTTGGAAGATAGATCACGCCTCTTGATTCATCTTTCATAACCTCTTCAAGCCTTTCCTCTCAGGTCAAGAGTTAGTCTGGTTCGTTTTTAGCCCGCTACAATGCATGTCTCAGCACTCCTGCTTCTCCTTGGCACGTATAGTCTAGTGCATGCATTGACCGTGCCGGGAACGTCGCCCTGGCCAGACAAGCACCTTGAGTCAGGTCTACGGATAGCGAAGAGGTCCGTACCGTATGAAATTGCACCACGGGCGCTTTGTCCACAAGTGTGGTGGACAATCGCTACAGAGCTTAAGCTATCTTTCCTCGGGGTAGGAGGCTGCAATAACCTCGCGCGGTAAGACCGCCATCCCAACTTGAAGCCAAGACGTCAACTAATCCACTCGAAGACAAGCTATTCGTGCGGCTTTCCACGACTGCTTCGTAGACGGCTGCAACGGGTCTCTGATGCTCAGCGGCGAATGCGACCGCAGCGAAAACAATGGCCTCGAAGACATATGCGCGCAACTCCCGACAGTTCGCGCGAAGTATGGGGTAGGTATGGCCGATCTTATTCAATTTGCTGGAGGTAAGCACATTTGCTGTATTCCCCATCCTACATCCACTGACAGCTATACCCAGCCATCGCCGTTGAAGTCTGCCCCCTTGGGCCCCCAATGCCCTTTTACGCCGGCCGCAAGGACTCCACCACGCCCTCCACCCCGGGCCAACTTCCCTCGGTAACAGGCAGCGGTGACCAGCTCTTCAACATGTTTAAAGCCAAAGGCTTCACTGCAACTGACCTCGCCGCGCTAATTGGGGCGCACACAACGTCGGAGCAGTTCTTCGTCAACAAGGCGAAGGCAGGCGCGGCTCAGGACACTACGCCGAACGTCTGGGATGTGGCGTATTACGGACAGATGCTGGCCGGGACGGCGCCGTTCACTTTTGAGAGCGATAAGAACCTGGCGGCGCAGAACGATGTGAAGGGGCCGTTCAAGGGGTTTGTGGGGAATCAGGTGGCGTGGAATGGGGCGTTCGTTGTTGCGTAAGTGGTTATGGGTGCGTGCTTTGCAGAGGAGGCCTGCTAATAATTGTCTAGCATGGTCAAGATGTCGTTGCTCGGGGTTAGTGGTGGGAAGAGCGGGTTGGTAGATTGCTCTGCTGCAGTGTAGTAGGAGGGAAGGTCATCAGGATGTGACAACAGCGGATCTAGGATACGTGCTTCTGTTGCATCCTTGTTTGCTATACTTGGGCTCTTGGATTCGCGTCTGATGTCCTTCTCGTTTACTGGGTATACCCTGATTCATGTACGATTATCATGTTCGCTGAAAGTAGGTTAACTTCGGCAGCTTCGGACTCTTGTTCAATCTCTGCAAAAACGCATTGAAGCACTTGCAAATATTGACACTAAGTGAATATGTGCGCGTAGTGAGGAGTCGAGTAAAGTGCTAATTCTGCTTGGCATTAAAGTTCCGATTTGGTGTTGCATGTTTTGGTGGTGAGTTGGCTCGACCAATCAGAAGGCTGTTGCTGGGCAGTCCTATGTTTGCCGCCAAAACATCAACACAACATTTCACCCAGCGCATCCCCCATCATACACCGCATCTTACCGCCAGCATCCCACCACCAACAGCTCTTAGGCCCCCAGCATACACTTGTATCAATAGCTGCCTGTGCCCATACAACCCAATGGCCCAAGAAACGGGCGTCTTCTCTATCCGCCGTCCGCGCGAGGTAAGTCGTATCTCACGCCGCAGCTTCCTTGCTTCGTCGCATTTCTGACTCTCACAACGCAGCCGCTGGGCGGCATCGCGCACAATCCCTCCGCAATTCCCATGCCGGCTTCCGCGATGAAGCGCTCCAACTCCGTTTCGAACATGCAAAACAGCGCATTCGGCGGCCCTTTCACCACGAACCACGCGCGCTCAACCTCTGGATCGCGCATGTCTCTCGCACCTGGCCGCCCGAGCCAGCCAATCTTCCAGCGCTCCTCCTCTGGCGACAATCTTGCAGGTATGGGCGGTTTCCAATCCGCGCATCGCAATTCGACAAACAACATGTTTGGCGGCGCAAGCACTGGGCGCAAGAGTCTTGCGCCTGGCGCAGGGCTCACAACACCCGCGTCCGCACTTAGCCAGGACCAGAGCTCACAGCGTCGAAGCAGCGTGTTTAGAGCGCGACCGTCGTCTGGCGCGGGTGGGATGGGACAACGCCAAAGCTTTTTCACAACTACGCCAGCCACCGCTGCGATGCCGGTAGACCCCAGACGACTAAAGGACGCGTCGGTGCGGGCGCAAATGGCACAAGAGCTCATGGAGTACCTTACACATGGGAACTTTGAGATGGAAGCAAAGCACTCTCTCACTCACAAGTCCATGAGCTCCCCAACGCAAAAGGACTTCAACTGCATGTTCCAGTGGCTATATCACCGTATCGACCCGGCATATCGTTTCCAAAAGTCTATCGACGCCGAGGTACCAGCACTCCTTAAACAGTTGCGTTATCCGTTCGAGAAATCAATTATGAAGTCTCAAATCGCGGCCGTGGGTGGAAATAATTGGTCCACATTCCTAGGGCTGCTACACTGGATGATGCAGCTTGCTCGAATGATGGATCAGTACAACGCGGGCAGCTACGACGATGTGTGCGCCGAAGCGGGCCACGACGTCCTACACGACAGGATCATCTTCGATTTCCTCTCTGACGCATATCAAACCTGGTTACACGTTGAGGACGATGGCGAAGACGACGATCCGGCAAAGCTGGTCGCACCGCATGTTGAGGTGATGGCCGCCAAGTTCGAGCAAGCGAATTCTCATCACTTGGAGGAGTTGGAGGTCCTACAGGCTGAGCACAAGGCACTAGAAGACCAGATAGACGAGCTAGGGAAGAGCGGACCCCGACTTAATAGCTTAAACGACCAGATCAAGATCCTAGAGGAAGATAAGGCCAAATTCGAGAAGTACAATGACAATCTGGAAGGCAAAGTCGAAAGATATGAGAACCGGGTTAAACTTCTAGAGGAAGAAATTCGCAAGACCGAGGCAGAGCTGGAGGAGGCTGAAAATGAGAAGCAAAGTCTGCAAGAAATTGTTGACAGCAGAGGGATAACTATCAGCGATATCGACCGCATGAACACAGAGCGCGAGCGACTACAGAAGGGCGTCGAGTCTACTAGCGCACGCCTTGAAGAGACCAGGAAGAAAGTCGCAGAGAAAGAAATCGAAGCACTTCGCAAACTCGACGAACTTGAGCGGACAGTCGAAAAGTACAACTCACTCGGCTATCAGATTGGTATCATACCAGCCACTGCTGCCAATGCGAAAGGGCTTGAATATGAAATCGTCATCACTACCAACGATGGGCCGAACTTCTCTGGCTCCCAAGTGGGCGCATCTCAAGGGCAAGACTCTTCGGACCGGCTCCTTGCAGACTCAGGCAATGGATACCAGCCTCACCAGCTCTTGAACCTCGACCTCCGCGGAACCGTCAAGACCAATATCCTCTCTCTTCGCAAGGAGATCAGCGAGAGGCGCAATGCTGCGCTCGAGGCGGACATGAACAACCACGACCTCCTCGACAAGATCAAGGAGGCCATGGACGATAAACAGTCTGAAGTCGAGGGATTAGGTCACAAAGTCCGCGCGGCTGAGGAGGAGTTTGAAAAGACTCGCGAAATCACCAACGCACAGAAGATGGCCAGCGACGCGCAAATCGAGAAGATGGAGAAGGAGCTTGCGAAAATGAGGGCGGGTTTGAGCGACAGCGTCCAGGTCATGGAGCAACGGGAGATGAGTACGAATCTTGAGTGAGTCTTCTCATACTATTATTGCAAGCCAGTGACAGCTGCTAATCTGAATCTCAAATAGGTACGAACAGCTCACCCTGCGTGCAGCATCTCTCCGCGAGGAACTCCACACCGAGATCGAGCGCATGCTGAACGACATCATCAAGTTCAAGGTGCACATCCAAACCCACCTCGAGGGCTACGAGACCTTTGTCTCGGACGAGGCGGAGAAGTGCCTCGAAGAGCCGGATCCAATGGGTGTGCATGATGATGAGGATGTGTTTGAGGACTAAGATGTGCATTCAGTTGGGTAGCAGTAGTCACTCGTAACTCGAGTACGATGTACAGCCTTGTTGCATAATGAGCGGAGTTTTGGCGTTGGGGAGAGGGAGGCGCTGTCACGATTTCATTTCCCGGGAAGCAATTGGGGGCTGATTGATGAAGGACAGGATAGGGGTTGGGGGGAGTTGGTTTCTTGTTTCTTGTCTATGGGCTGGGGTGTTGTGTTATGGCTCGGCTTGGATGATACCTTTCGATACGTAAACACGAAGACTTCTGCGTTGCTCATGCCACCGCCCTCAGACCTAATGAACGTGGCTCTGCCTTTCTTACGTATCTAATGCTACTCCTGTCTCCTGAAGGGGGTGCTCCGCAGATGGGCGAAGGGCAATACAACGGTCATCTTGACGATGCCTCTCCATCACACCTCAGAGTAAGATATTAACAGCCACCTTTCACAAGCCAATTCCAGGCGCTTGCGCCCAGAAACACACCATCAACGCCCAGCACGCGGCCCAAAGCTCGCACGCCGCACGCCGTCATATCGATCTGAGCTTATCGTCGTCGCGCAGGCCGTCGACCACTCAGCGGCCCCGCTGCGGGGGTCGTCCAGGGTCTTGCATGAGCGCATTGACGTCACCGGATCTCGATTGTGGCAAGCAACTGCGGTAGGACAGCCAACAAAGGAGCGGAGCAGGTTTCGCATCATGGAAACCAGCGGGTGGGTTTGCGAACGGGAGATTGGGGGGGCAGGAGGGGCAGCTGCCAAGTCCTTTTGCAAGAGTTGTTTAAATAGGGCTGGACCCTGATCTGCTGAGGGCGTTCAATTCAGTTCACTCCAACTTACATTACCAAACACCATTTTCACACTTTACCACACAGACTTCAAAGTACCGATACCAGTCAACATGAACAACCAAGGCAACGCCCAGCAGACCAACGCGTCTGGTAACGAGGACTACGTCGACAAGGGTATGTTGCATGCAGCCCTCGCCCTCCGCCTCCGCCTCCTGCATCAAAAGTAGCGGTGACTAACGGACGGGTTGACAGGACTCGATGCCGTTGAGAAGAAGTTCGGTGGCGCGTACGGCGCTGACCCGGGGAAGAACCGCGGCGTCAACGAGAAGATCGTAGGTTGCTCCTTCCCCCGCCTAACACTTCCTCGGTCGGAAACATCGTTTGCTGACATGGTTTTGGAGACCGACGGCGCGCGCGGCTTGTTCGAGAAGGCTACTGGCAAGAAGGTGCCCGACAAGTTCTCCAACTAGAGATGGTTGGGGCGGATTGCATACCACAGACTGGTATAACAGCCTCGCTGATGCAGCTGATGGCTGGGAGTCTTGATCGGATTGGGATAGGATATCTGGGTTATAGGGATATGAATATCATGATATGATCCGTCAAAGTTTCATTGATTTGCCCATGTGATGTGTGATGTGTGATATAGTGGTATATATGTTTGCGTCCAATGCTGGATAACTTAGTGTTGAGTTCAGTGGACTGTTTCCAGCGTCATGCGTGTTGTGCAAGGTATGCAGATGTCTACTTCATCACGCTGGGCATGAAAAAAAGTGGCACACTCATCAAGTACTCTGCCCGTGTGTACACCGGTCTGCCGCTGCATGAAGTGCTTCAACAAGTTTCCACATAGCCTAGGGCAAAGAGCTTCTATCTTCTTTAGACCTGAAAACATATTGAAGCAACCCAAGCAGTGGCAGACAGGCGTACACACGAGACAGCTTTTCTAGAATTAGTGTGCCACCTTTTCCATGCCCCGCGTGTTCATATCTCCCTCAGTCTTCTTTTAAAGAACCGTCATCCATTTGCACCTCGAAAGGCGGGGTTTCGCACACTTAACTTTGAACGTCTCTTGCATTAGCCTTCCCGAGTAACGATACTTTGAGACTCCATTGCTCCATCCAGACTGTGTACACTTGCTTGACACCGCTTGAGGCTCCCTGGTACAATATGGTGGGTTAGAAAACGACCCTTTCAACACACCTAGTAGCTCTCCAGGCCACCCCAGACGGTGCTGGACCTCTGTGGCCAACAGAGACTAACGCCCTTGACTTTACCCGTTCATCCCCTCGCTGGGAGAAATCCTTCACTGGTCCCGCCCAATCCAGTCACGTGATAGAGACGCTAAGCCGAGTCTCTTCGGCCCAAGCCTCAACATCACTTCATCGCCACTCTCATCCGTTCTTACTGCCGACAAGCATTGCATGTGGAGACGGAGCATCCTTGGCGAAAGTCAGCAGCTGTCAGCCCTCCTTGCGCTCCGCCTAACATGGAAGTGCTCTCGGCCTGCACCGGCAATGCGGAGTACTCCCATAGGTGATTGGATGTTCGATCCCATCTGCCCATTTAGACATCTGGAGGCCAATGATGACCGAGCGATGCCTGTAGCATCGAGCATCGAGGGTCACTCGAAAGCGGAGAAGGTCCGGTCCACCTGCAGGCCTTTAGAATCCTAGCTCGCAGCATCTTCATCGCAAGCTGTTGGTCTGTGTGGTCGCATGCCCTCTTTCGCCTGATCAGAGAAGCCGAAGGTGTGGCCGGGAAAGACTCGGCTTAAGAGGATCGGCCTCTCCCGAGATGGCGTTGCCGGCGAATTGTTTTGAGGCTTATTACGAGAGAGGCTACAAGTAGCGTCGTGGTGGTTGGTGGTGTGGAGAGCAGCCGATGGAACCTGCCGTGGCGATGCTCCAAGCAGTCTAGCAAGTGGCTTCCAACGGGAAATACTTGACGACGGTTAGTAGTCCCGCAAGCAACAATCCTAGTCATCAAAAGACTAGATTGCCTACATAATAGAGAGTCAGGTGTTGAGGGGCAGTGAAGGACATTGGAGACCCTGCAGGCGTTGCCGACTTCCAGCGTGGCGTTCAACGGTCCGATGGGGTCCATGCATCGCTCCACTTGATGGCGTTGGACAAGTTTTAGTCCACCAGAAGCGGAAATCCGTCGTGCGGCGCTGACAAGGAAGATTCAAAAGGCGACCAGAGGGCAGGCGGGATTACTCGGTAGGGTGGCCCGCAGAAGGAAGCAAAGTCTTGCGTGAAATGAAGGACGAGACTTCAGCCGGCGACGACGCTGGGAGGCGCAAACTGCGGAGCATCACCGGGCTCGCTGCAATGGCAGCAATTACCCCGGGTTCTGACAACAGGCAGAATTGCGGAGAGCGGAGGAGCCAGCTGAATGGGGGGTGGTGGCGAGGATCGTGGCAATCCCCAGGGGGCGGGAGAAGTCGGTCTCTGGAGGTTCTTGGAGACGCGTAGGGATCGCGGGAAGACGCACCAGATGGAGAGGGGCGCAAAGGGCTGAACGTCAGCAGTGGAGCCGTGGTCGAGGCGACGCAGGGGCGGGGAGCAAGCGCTTCGATCGTCTCTGCTGGTGTTGCAGCCGTCGGCGTAGTGGGAGTGGTAGTTCATCATGGCGAGCTGCGTGCAAGCGGCGGGGCGCCGTGGCCTGCCCTGTGCCTTGGGGGATGCACCCGAACACGATGCAAACACCAAGCCAGATGAAAGAGAGCGAGAGAAAACGATGAGAGCGCATGGGAACTGGCCCGCGGCAGCCCGTCGACGACTTCACCCGCAATTCGGACCGGATGCCGCATTCGGCAGGGTGCGTATATCTGGGGCAGCCCTGCGCGCGGCACGCGGCGTGTGTCTGTCGCGTGTGCTGGACCGCCAACCAGGGCCAATGGCGGGCGCAGCGATAAGCGGCACGGGCTCATGGCGGTGAGCGGAGCCCAACGAGGGATGAGGGACGTCAGGACGGCCAGCGGATGGCCGTGGCCATGGCCCTGGCCATATACAAATCAATCCTCATGCCTCAACCCGCCCTCCCCGACCGCCCTCCCCTTGCCCGCACCGTGTGCTGTCCGACGTGCTCCCACGAGCGCTGCTGTCCTTGACTTGCCTTAAAGCCTTTGTGCTCCCCATGTAGCCGTTTGCACGCCGTCGCCGCCCCCCCTCGGCCTCAACACCACGCTCCGGCCCTCCACACCACATCTCTGCACTGCGCCCCTGATCTACGGACCTCCCACGGGCCCGTCCCAGGCGACCGCGACGACAGCGCGACGCTCGCCACTCACAGCCGCCCGACCGCACACCACTACCTTCCCGGCGCGCCTCAGAGCGACCACCACACCCTCCGCGCGCCCAGGTAGGGGGTCGACGGCAGCGTCAGCTGAGCCACCTCGCACACCCACGACGCTCGCGCAACCACCATGTCGGCGTAGATAGCGGGAACGTTGAGGAGGAAATGGATTTCACGGTAAGCCGCCCACGCGCCTGGGACTGCTAAGCTCCGCGTGGATGCGCACGCCATTCCCGCTGCACCCACGCCTCGACCACGCGCGCCGCCGTCCCGGGACATCGTGGCTGATCTCCGTCACAGATATCGCTGGCTCATTTCTGCGAGGTCCACGGCCCGACCCCGATTCTCTGCACGCAAATCTCCCCTCCCGACCCGTGCCAGACCTGCCACCACCCATGCGTCACGCCGCCATCCGACGAGCCGCCTCGGTCCGCCCACCCATACAACGCCCTATACGACAACGGCCACGGTTCCTTGGCCAGCCGGCTTCCGCAGCTGTCTTCGCCGTTCGAGACGCCGCCGACTAGCCCGACGTCCCCGAGGAGCAGACACAACCCGTACTTCCCCAGCGTGGCAAGCGGTACCGACTTCACCAGACGGTACAGCGGCAGTGTCGAGGACGAGAACGACTCCTGCGCCAACTGCACCTTTCTCGTCCCGAAGAATGTCAGCCAGCGTCTCCCGGACGGAGCACCTGGCAGTCCTTCGAAAGATGGGAGAGGAAAGAGCAGCAGTCCCGTGCTGCGAACCAACCAGCCAGTACTCGCGCGTGGCCCAGCTACGCCCCAGTCCGATGAATACAACAGCTCGCCAGAATCGTCTGACGCCGAGCAGTCCAAGTCCTCGACGGCTTCGCGCTCCAGCTTGCCCAACTCTTCCCCTTCTTCGCCCATGTATATGCCTCGCAACACCCACACCCATACGTTGACGTACCTCACGACCCACCAACCGACTTCCCCCTCGACCTTTTCTCTCCTGAGACGGTCATGTATCCGAACTTTGTCCTGCGAGATGCTCCCCTGTGGAAAGCCCTCTGGTCCCCTCTACTTCGGTGACCCAATAGTCGGATACACCATAGCCTACATCTTCCGCCTCCCCGATCCCCGTGCACGTGGCCAGAAACGGACGTACGCACTGATCGCCCTGGGCGGACGGGACAGCTGGCGGGTTGGCAAAGCCATGGTCAAAGTAACGGCTGTCTTCGAGAGCATCGCCAACCGCATCATCGCTATGGCCGACAAGGTCCTAGAGCGGGAATCGGCTGCATCGCCCTTCAACCAGCCATTGGCTTTCACCCGCCCTTCGACCGCTGTCGCTACTACACCGCCGCTACTCAGCACCTCGGCACAGTCCATGCCCGCCTTCCCGTCGCCACAGAAGGAGAAGCTGTCGTTCTCGACCGCCAGCTCACCCGCCACGCGCAACATCACGCCCGTCTCGTCATTCCTGTCTGCGAAGAAGGTTGATCCAGACGGCTATCCACGCGTGTCGCGTGACGTGATGCGTGCTAAGAGCCTGGCTGAGATTGTGGGCCGCGAAGACTTCTTCGTCGAGCTCCACGTGCGCTTCTGTACGCTCCTGTCGTCGCTCATCAAGGAATTCGGCACCTGATCTCGTGTTACTCGACATATGGGCAACACCACTCCTGTCTCACCAATATACGTTCCGCAACCCTGTTCGCTGTGTCCTAGAAGCACACCATTCCAGCGACTAGCTCCTCCTGTCCTCTACCACGTCTCCAACACTGTGTCTCTGTTGTACATCTCGGGTTCGGTTATGTCCTTGCCACGGCCGTGTCTTTTTGCAATTACTGTAGCGTTCTAGCGTTTCCTTTCGGTATCGGGATCCTCAACTGGCAGATGACTTCCCAGCTTGTCAACCAGCTTCGGATCTCAATTTCCCTACCCTGGTCTCTCGGTGTTGGTGGCTTTCTCGATTCGGCTTGTTCAGACCCCCCTTCCAGTTTCTCTTTTTTTTTTTTCAACTTCTTTAACAACTTCGTGCTTTTGAGATTCCCCAAATATACCGCACACACCCCACCTTATGATACCCCAGCTCCTTTCATTAGGTCCGGTCTTTCTTCTTTTCTTCTTCACTTTTTTCTTCCCCTCTTTGCTCTCTCTCTTTCTCTGTAGGGACGGCACTCTGGTCTGGAACGAATGGAACTGGGACGGGATTAGATTACGGGAAACGGAAACGGTGCTAACTAGCTAACGGAAAAGTACGCCACGCGATTGGGCAAGGGAACGAAAGCGGCGCGTGTGTCAAAGGAAAAATGCCGTGGAATTTCTTGTCTTGTGTTCTGTCCACAGGAGTTCGAATAGGGGTAATGAGCAAAGGCAGTTCTCCACAACCACGACAACTCTGCGTGTCGTTGTTGTCTGTAGATGCCACCGAGTACATAAATAAACATTGTAAACGTTTCTTCATTGATGGACTCTCTCACTCTCTCTCTCCGTTCTTGTGCTCGTGATCGTGATACGTGGGCGTCATTAACCGCCTCCATGGCCCACCCTTCTTACACCTACTTTGGTATGCCCCCTGAAGCGTGTTTTTCACTTCCGAACCCCAAACACATCCCCAACTCCCCCAACCTTCCCCTCCTCGACCAACTCCTCCAACAACGCCCGCACCTCCTCAACCCCATAGGGGAAACCCCCCGGCACCACCATCTTCAGCATCATCAGCACGCGCACCGGCGGCATATTGCCCTGGTTCGTCAGCATGCCCATGACAAACTGCCGGTACAGCGGCTTATTCTGCGCCAGCTGCTCCGTCGTCGACACCACGCCCGACGGCTGCAGTTCCGCCGCCGCAGCCGCCGCGGCCGCCGCCACAACAGCCGTCGAAGTGGTAGGGTTGCCCGCCGTGTCGGTGGCGGTGATGTCGGCGGCGGAGGGCTTGGGCAGGGTTTCGAGGATGGCGTAGACGTCCGGCCGCACTTCCTGCAGCACGCCCATGCCGACCCAGAAGACGAGCGCGTTGCGCACGAGGCCCTCGTCCATCTCGAGCAGTTCGACGAGCTGGGGGACGGCGCGTGCGACGCCCTCTTCGGCTTTCGAGTTTCGATTCTCGGCGGGCAGGGCCTGGAAGGCGTAGATGACGCTTGCTTGCCAGGTCTGCACTTCGGCGTCGACGGTGCGGTCGGTGAGGTGGAGCTCGACTTTGGCGCGGCCGAGCGAGGGGAGCCAGCGGAGCTTGCGCATGCCTTTGACGCGCTCGAAGCGTGCTTCGTACTCGCGTTGCAGCGTGGCGATGGGAGCGGGGACGTGGAATTCGTCTTCGCGGAGGGGGGGCCAGAAGAAGGAGGAGAGGATTTGCGCGTTGAGGGTATGTTCTGCTGGTGGTTGTTTGATGAGCGCCGCAACAGGGGTAGAAGGGGCCGGGTATCGGGCTTGTGCTGCTGCTGGAGTGCGAGGCTGGGCTTGGTTGTTTGCGGGCGTGTGAGGGCTGGGTGTTATGGGCAAGGGCATCGCGGACTCGTCGGGTTTCTTCTCCCCGTTGATCGAGGCGTTGATGCGATTGGATTCGAGTACGTCGCGGAGCATGACTTCACATGCTTGAAGCTTGTCGTCGCCGAGGCGGAGCTTGATCAGCTCGAGCAGGCGTGTCTCTTTCTCGTATTCTGGATCGTGTCCACGGAGGAGGTAGTCGCCTAGTATTTGCTTCAGCTCGTTGATGAAGTCCTCCCGATCGTACAGCGTCAGGAGGAACCAAATCACGTCTTCGACCTTAGATTTCCTATAGTCCGGGGACGCGTCCATCGGGTGCGGCTGCCAGTTCATGTCGCTCCAATTCAGGTCATCGTCCTGTTCCTGGGCAAACGATGCAATAGGTTTCTGCATTTCTGCAGCAATTTCATGTGAGATTTCACTTGTAGGGCCGAATTTGGCTGCATTTTCATCTTCGACGTCTGTGAGAAGACTGGAAATAACGATACGCGCGGTGTCCTCTCTCCCCTTTAGATATCGACGAATTGGACGAGCTGCGCGTTCCAGCAGCACTCCATTAGGTTCGAGCTCGTTGAAGGCGCGGATTACATAAATGTAAACATTGAGAATGAAGGTTGTGGTAGCACCGGCATGGAGCAACCGCCTCGAGACTTGTTGTGAGAAGCTATTAGAGAGATTAACCTTCGCTCCTGGCATCTTGAGGTATTCCTAACGATGTGGTTAGAAATGAAAGTGAAGGGCTCAGAATTGCTGAGGCCGGATTGAGGTATAACAAGACATGAGATAGTACCTTGATGTCCAGAATCGCACCCAGCGACTTGTCCCAATTGATGATAAAATCAAACAGATTTTCCACTCGCGCCCTTCCCAGTCTCCCAATGGCCATATCCTGCCACTGTTGGACATCGTTCGCCTGCACCGATTTGGGTTCATCTGCCAGAACCTCCATGACTTGCCGCACAAGAGGGCTGAATCCATCCTTTACCCACTGCCTTAGATGATTGATGATAGATTTCCGAGAGAACCAGTCCACTTTCATGTAATGGCTGACAATGAAGGAACCCATAAGCTTGTCCATGGCGTGAGCGAACGCCTTCTGCGCCTGCTCTCCCCCTAGTCCAACGTCTTGTAGGCCTCGAAGCAGCTGTAGTATGCCATTTCGTAGTTTCGGAACGTCGTCCAACGCATCACCACCAACGAAGCCTAGTCCGTTGTCCACATATACGCGGAAAAGACGACACCCTCCATTGTAAAGCACGTAGCTGAGGGTCTTCGAAAATCGTTGGGGTGGAAGAGCGTGTGCGAACAGTCCATGCAGATCTCGTTGGAACTTCCAGCTAGCAAATATGTGTTGGTCCTCGGCTGTGGTATCTAGTCGTATTGTACTCGAGGTTGTATTGGCGCTCTCGTGCTCTAAGATGGGGAGAATGTGGTTGTTGAAGGGTTGGAGGTATAGCTGCTGGACCTGCAGCAGTATTCGCTGGGTCTCCTCAAGGGCTTCCCACGCGTTCTGGCACGCGATTTCCTGAGTACGTTAGCTGTCGACCTTTTTCCGTAGTTTTTAAGGATGTACCCTACATTGTCCCATATCGACCGCAATGCCGGATGTACGTAGTTGACGAAATGTATCCTGACTTCGTTCGTGTACCAATCTACCTATATGTCCATCAGCTCTACTGGGGCCTTCGCTCCGTTCGGCGTACGCACCAAGCTTTCTTCTTTGCCCTCCTCGCCTTGCCCTTCGCCGACCAGCAAGTATTCCAGAGCCTCAACAACATCCTTCCCTTTATGTATATGTACAACTCTCGCGCTGAGGTGGCCTTCGTCGTGTGGCAATTTGGGTAGGCTCAGGAACCTGGTTGCTGTGCTCCACGCAAGGTTGCGTTTCACCTCGCGGTGTTGACTACCTGCACTCGCCCCACCAAAGGGCCCTCCAAATGATTGCCCGGGGGCTGTAAATCCAAGCTCGGGTGTAGCAATCGGCGTAGGTGTCGTATGCGAGAGTGCTGGTACTGGGAACACAGACGCGAAGACCAGACTCTGGTGGTCCATGGTGTGTAGTGGCAGCGGGGTGTTCGACGCGTCCTAGACAGAAAAGTAGGCGGAGGTATTGTCCCTACTTCACGTAAAATGGTAGGAGCAGCTTCGCATCACAGCAGCGGGACAGCGTGGGTGAAGCATCAACATGGTTGATTGAAGGAAGTTCATGATCTACAACTACATTTGTGAAGCTCCATGTAGGGCTGAATCCACGCAATCACGTGCATTCATTCATCAAGCCCCATCTAACTCCAAAAAAGCCCGAAGACTCTGAGACGCCCAACGACTCCAAAACCAACCCTAGACAATTACCTGAGTCGCCTGCGTGGTGAATAGAACGGAACCCAAAACACCGAAATCCTAGCAACGCTACAAACGGCCATGCCTAGCCTTGAATATGGCGACCTTGTCATCATAAAAGAGAATTTCTCGCAGCCTAAGTCTCGGCCCTTTCCTGTCATCCTGCAAGAAAGAGTCATCGCCATCAGAGTCGTCGTGCATGTCTTCAGACGCGTCAGACTCGGTCTCGTCGCCGTCGCCCGCGGCTCCGACCGGACCATCTAGGTCGTCGTCGTCTTCGTCTTCCGTTTCGTCTTCTTCATCCGACATCATTGCATCATTCGCCACGTAAGCGCCGCCCATGGCGCCTCCGGCCGGCCCATCAGTGCTGCTGGTGTTGCTCTCTTGGCGAAGATCGTAACTGGACGACTTGTTTTCCAGGATCTCAAAGCACTTGACAGATATTCCCATATAGCAAATCTCGATCTCTGGTCGCAAGTGAACGATATCCAGGACCTGCATGGCCAATTCTCGGGGTTCGATATTGTTCCCGTGAGCATGGTCGGCAATGAAAGGGATATAAAGCGAGCGGACATGGAGAATAAACGGTAGTCGCTGAAGGAAGAAATGCTGAAACTAGTTAGTACCTCGCCTATTGAAGGATATTTTATAGCCACGTACCCAATCTCTATAATCAATAGACACGGCCAACTCTCTTAAGCCGCTCATTCGACCACTTGTAATGAATGTTATAATTTCGCGATTCAGCATCCATCTCCTCCATCTTGAACTTGAACTTGTGTGTCCGTCTGGTCCTTTCTCGCTACTGTCTATCATCAATTTTTTGAGACTTCCTCGGTGCCTTCGTAATGCTCCTCGGTAGATAGTTTCGACTGTGACCGTCGATGAATACGATCGGCCTTCTTGGAGGAATAGAACTTCCAAACTGTTTGGCGCAAGAGTTTCCTTCAGGAAGGCAATCAGCGAAGGCGACACTGCGTTCGTGTGTATCTTTTTCAGATTCAAAGCGTAGTCGGAGCGGCCGAGATATGAAGACTTATAGGCCTTTGTGGGGTTTGAGTAGCTAGAACCTGAAATCGTTTGGGACCCTCGAGGAGAAAAGGTACGCCGCAGAGACTTCCACAACTGCTCATGATTATGGCAGTGCAACAACGTCAATGTTGTAAGCAAAGACCAGTCAAAAGCTTTCAGCAAGACTGTCACCGATAGAGGAACACGCTCAAGCTCGAGAGTATCTAATCGCAACTTGCCGTTGAGAAGTGGGCCGTGTGTTTCTTCGAGATTCATGATCGTCGAGCTGTTGGCAGCTATGGTAGGGCTAGGGTCTGGCATAGCTGGCTCTGCTATATTGCTAGACGGGTGTGATTCCGTGGGAGCAGTAGCAGGCCCAGTGATCGCGTCCTCAAGTACACTGTTAGCTGGAAGCATGTTTTGTTCCTCGATGGGCGGTATGGATCCATTGCCGACTAGGCTGACACCCTCCTGAGCAGATAGTTCTTCTAGGGCGCCATCCCCGTGCTCTGATTCTAGCTCCATATCTCGCTCCGGTCCAGCAATCTGCTCGTTCACAGGAGCGTTGGACTCGCTGGATGTTTTGACAGGCTCTGGAACTGCGACTGGACGCTCCGGAGACACGTGCGGTTTAACTGCTTTGGCCACTATTTCGTCGTTGTGTCGCATATTGTAGACCCGTCCGACAAGAGTACCCAGTACCCCTCCAAGGCGTTTCTCGCTAATGGAGCTGGCTGCAGTCCAAGTTGTACTGTAATCCACTTGTTGTATGCCGTCTCCATCCCATGCCGTTACCCAGTCTCGTTGTTGAGCATGACGTGCTATGCCGATCCGTAGCTCCCGTAGGCCCCTCTGTGATCGAGCGATCAATATCGCCATTTCATCAAGATACGGGAGCTCGTCGATGTCCAATACGCTCAGACTCTTGAGTGGAGGAATAACGGAGAACGTGGGATTCTCGACCCTGTCGATTGCAGCAGCCGAGGAAGAGGAATAATGTACCGGAACCACAATAGGAGCCTGTGTCGCACCCGCCCCACTAGGGTGAGCCGTATTCGGTGGTGGTGGCACATTGTTGAGCATCATAGGCGGGGGCGGTATAGGACTCGGGGAGTCGCCTGTGTTGTCATGCCATCGTATCCATAATCGCTCGAGCCGGCAATCCTCGCCATCTGTTCGGTCAGCTAGGGAAGACAATGCGAGCCATACATCCCTCAAAACCCCAGTGGGCATATCCCACACAAAGGTCTCCAGGTTCTTCATGCGAGCCACAGCAAGAGCTACAAGCGTGCCAAGCATCTTCCCGCCTTCTTTCGCAATCATGTACTCCTGCACCCAAGCGTGTGGCCCATTCCCCAAGGAAAACTTTTTGGTAAACTGAGCGTAGTAATTTCCACGGCGGCGCTTGGTAAGCGGGAAGGGGGTCTGTTGCGCGCTGCGAGCCATGTGGGTAGTCGAGACGTGAGAACCGCAGTTTTGGCAGTTGTTTTGGTGTGGCGCTTCTCCAAATATTTCTTCGGCCATAACGAGGGTCGCTAGTCCGTATGTTAGGGCATCGACGCCGGTTCTGGGCTCTGTTTGTGTACTCTCATCTGGCCAAACAATGTCGAATCTCGAGTAGATGCAGGGTATCGTAAGACTGTGAAGGGCGGAATGGCAAAGCGCAAGCGAAGTCAGATCGTTGGTGTGTGGGAGCTACAACCACCAATCTATTAGCCTTTCGAACGAGGACATAATGCGCGATGTTATATATACCTGGTAAATGATCTCCTTGAGAATATCGACTGGAAGATCCAGTAGCCGCAACGGCCCCTTCCTTGCAACATCTGTCCATTCTTTCTCTTTACCTTTCAGCAGCTTCGATAAAGTTTGCTTCGCAGAGTGGTCGTCGACCTGTGGAAGGTCCCTCAAGGGCGCATCGGAGGTTGTGCATTGTTCAAGCTCCTCGTCGGCAACCTTTGGGGACAGTTGCACGTCTTCCGGGGATGGAGGAGCAGAGCTGGCCAGATCATCGTCGTAGGCAACGGGTGTGTTTGCGCCGCTCGACCTGGAGGACCGTGGCGTGCTAGGTGGTGAGGATTCGGATGCCATGTTGTTTCAACGACCTGAACTCCTCGCAGTTGGCGGGAACGCAGGAACCCTCATGAGGAGAGCAAGAAGAAGCGGGTCACGGCGAGGAATAGAGATGTAGCTCCGAGCGCTTGCAGTGTAGGTGTTGTGTTGGGCTTGAGTTGGGTGAGAGGTCGCGTAGAGGGTTGGACGTCGGGCGGAGATTCCCGCTGCCCCAAAAATGCACAGCATCGCTGCGATATGATTGGTCCCGTATATTGCCTACTTTTCTTACAAGAGGTACCACCCAGCGCCACGTCTGAGGCCTGCGGCCTTCCAAGGCTTCAAAGTCGGGGCTCAACATCCATCACTCCGATTCCCAGGCTTGCAGATGTAGTGTCTTTTACAAGTTACTATGCTTCGCCATTTCACTGCTTCACTAACGTTGACGTCACATCAAATCCCATCCATAGACCGAGAAGCCAGTCAATTAGCGGGTGCTCTCTCTCAACCACATGAAGCTGCTCTTTTCGGTTGGTAACTTGCAATAGCAAGTTCAAGAGGCAATGCCGCCACCATAAACCTCCGTGTTCCCGTATATCGCCTCTCTCGGAACGCCCAGGGAAGTCAGTACGAGAAGCACAATGACAAATCTGCAACCCATTCTAGCAGCGGGCGCCCAGATCAGCTCGTAAACGGCAAGGTTGTCTGCCCTCGGTCTGGGTCGCTCATCCTGCTCAGCTGTTAGCTTTGAACTGAATAGCTCACTCAAGAATCAACTCACTTGATGATGCGGACATCCTCCTGGATGGAGACGCTTCCCATGGCTTGAGGAGTAATCAGGATGAATTGACGACCAACGGCGCGACGTGCGGCCTCAATCTAACGGTAGATTATGTGAGCGGTCTCTTTCGGCCCAATAAAGCTCTTGACAACAGACGAGAGCTTGCTTACCATCATCTTCATGCTAATATCCCGGTTGACGCTGTCCATGAAAACATCACTAGTTCCATGTTAGCCGGCCCATTCAAGTTTTGTAGATATGATCACTCTTACAATTCATCCAAGCATCGTATAGGCGAGCCCATCGCATCCCACAGTGCAAGAAGCAGGCATATCGTTGAGAATGACTTCTCGCCGCCCGATAGCGTCTGCGTCTGCCGTCCTCTTTCGTCGCTCTTGGTAATATCAGGCTCCACCTATAGCAGCGTTAGGCCTATGACTTTGATACACAAGATTGAATTAAGAAAGAGGCTTACCTTGATATCCAGAGTCTTGTGTATAGCGCTGATCTCGAGAGATCCCCGGAAACTACGTTCGCTGAGCAGGTAAGTAAAGGTGATACGCGCACCAGCTTGAATATAGCGCCTGAATTTCCCCCATCGGTCCCGGCGGTCTATTAAAGCCTCCTTGAGTATTGACATCAATTCGAGGCTACGATCCTTGAGTCCCTTGGCCTCTTTGTGAGCGGCATTGGCTTCAATTTCAGCATGCACAAGTTCTTCCTTTGTTGCCCCGAGCCTTGACTCATTAGCTAGATTGATATTTCGGAAAAGTGAACTCACCTGGCCTCGCTGTTCTTCAAGTCTTTTATGAGCCTTTCCCTTTTCCTTTCCAAACCCTCGTAAGTTTCACCTGGAGGAACTGGAATACGAAGGCAGACTTCCGTGGCCTTGCTCGTATACTCCTCGACAATATTTGCCTGCTCTTGGCGCCCTCCGATAAGCTGCGCCTTTTCCCCTTCTGCGAACCTGAAGGACTCTATAGCGAGATTCTTTTGCTGCAACGCAACTTCTCTTGCCTGCTCTAGCCTTTGGAGCTTCTTTGACGTTTTGGTGATCCTTGCCTCAACCTCTTTTTCTTCCAGCTCCAGGGATCTATACTCTTTCTCCGCAGTTTCCTCTTCAGTCTTGTCTTCAGCTCTGGCATCTTGCGCATCTTGGAAAGACGCTTCAAGGGCTTCTTTTTCTGCTTCCTTTTCTCGAAGCAGCTTCTCATAGTCTTTGAGCTTTCCTGCTTGGGGAGTCTCCGCCTCGAGTTCGTCTCTCAAACGATCAGAAAGTTCATCGGCACGTTGATGTTGGACTCTCAACTGATTTTCAACGGTTGTGTAACTCTCGATAGCTTTGTTGCATTGCGCTACCTTCCCTTGAACGGCCTTCTCCTGCGCCTCTATGCCCTTCAATTCTTGCTGGAGCTGGGCCAAGTTCTCCTTTTCAAAGCTAGACGTGTGTGAGTAACGACTTGTTGCAAAGATCCAGCTGACTTACCCGAGCTGAGATTCTTGGTCTGTTTGCATACGAACTTGTCCGTTCCAAGGGTGAATTGGTCCCAGCTTTGGAGCTCCACCTGAAGTCAGCTGGAAAAGATGGCCAGCTCCCCTCCTCTGATCGGACATCGCAAAAACCTGCCTCACGTTCTGAGGGCGAACGTCGGCTGATATGAAATTGAAGGCTGTGGTGCGATTCTTGATGAGCACGGTCTGATCAATTGCCTGGCCGATAATCATTTGGTTGCGAACAAGATCGTTGTCGATCTAGGTGCGATTAGTGAAGACTTGGTATGGCGACCTCGAGTCCTACCTTCAGCACTCTCATCCAGGTCTCCAGCTCCGGACTTGGCTCTTTATTCGACGTGTCCAACGGTCTTGGGTTACCTATAAGAATGTTCGCCACGCTAGAAAGTCAGCGTATTCAACAAGGCTCAAGGCAAGTCACTGACCATCTCGTCTTCTTCATTAATTCAGAGAGGATGCTTTCGTCGGCTTTGTTTGTCACGACGAACGAGTTAAGGGATGGTCCAGCTTGCTTCTCGAGGATTGAAGACCATTCAGGTTTTAGAAGGCGAACATGCCTACCCATCGGTCCCACAGGAGCAGTTCTGAATCCTCGCTCAGCCTCAATAGCGCGTAGTAAGCTGGGTAGATTAGGGTCATAGCCAGCAGTCCAGTGCCCTTGGCCAGATTGCATATTTCGGATGAGCGTCTGTTTTTGTTGAATCTGCTCCTTCTTTTGCGCTTTGGTTGGCCTGAAATCGTCCATCTCCTTTCTAGCCTTCTGAAGGTTTTGGACAACGGTCGTACGCGTTTCTCTATGAGACTCCAGGGATGCTTTGGCCTGCGCCAACTTGGATTGTGCTTCTTCAATATCGGCGAGCTTCTGGGCGTGTTGACCACCGTCTGCTTGTTCCTGTCGATGACGCTCCTCTCGAATCAGCGTAGTGTATTTCCTTATTGCTGCTTCTGAAGCCTTTATCTCGCTATAGATATTGCGTTCTTGTACCTATGTCTCATCAGCAATGCGAAACGATATTGAGTGAGTGTCATACTATGGTGTCCGCAAGTTTCTCTTTCTTCGCATCAAGCGTCTCCTTGGCGGCGGTACGTCGAGCCTGAACAGGAGCTATGCTGTCTTGAAGTGCCTTCAAAGATTCCCTGGCAGTTTCGCGTGCTTCGTTGGCGGTATCGTACCTTCCCGAGGCCTCCTCAGACTGTGTTCTCCTGTCATTGATCATTTCGTCCTTGTCTTGAATTAACTTGTCCAGTTCGGCAAGGCGCTATGCAAGTTGTTAGTACTAGTACATTGCCATGAGAATCAAACGTACATCTTCTTGATCGATCACTTGGGCCCATGCCATCTGCATGACCAAATTATGTATCTTCTCATGGAGACCATCCAGTTGCTGCGCTTGCCTTTTTTTGGCTGCAGCTTCATCGAATGCCTTCTTGCGGATCTGGACAGTCTCCTCTAAAAGATCATGTTTGCTCTCCACGGCATTGATGGTGTCTGATAGCAATTTGTAATCGTTATCCAAAGCCTCCAACTGAGTCCCCTTGAGAAAGAACTTGTACTTGTCTTTTGCGTTGGAATGGTTCAAGAACTGTCGAGCCATGTCTTGTGTGAGTACGTTCATCGGATTATCCAATTGGAGACAGAATGCATCAAGGATATCATCCAAGTCGGCTTTCTTCGTCGAGACAGTCTTGTCATTGGTGTTCTTGATTTTATAGCTGTTGGACCCTGTCTTTGAGAATTGTCGTTCGACGATAATCGATTTTCCGTAGATCTCGGGCTTGTAGGCAGCGGAGCCTTGATTCTTGATACGTACACTGAGAAGAGCAGCACTATCAATGCGTTAGGACATTTCCATATGCCTCTGGTGCTCAGCTTACTCTCGGCCTTCTTTGATGAAACTCTTCAAACTTTGACCCCGATTGGTCGCGGTAGCCTTTCCTCCGAGACACAGAGTGATGGCAGTGAGGACAGCGCTCTTGCCGCTGCCATTGTGCCCGATAATAAAATTGATGAGGGGACCGAGTTTGACCGTAAGTCGATCATGACACATGAAGTTTGTGCACTTCACTTCTTCAATCACGCCGTTGTCGGCCGGGTCGTTCACCTTGCCGTCCTGCAGTCGTTCTCTGTGTTTTTCAAATCGCTGTTGTATGATCTGGGTGGAGTGCTGGTCGTCGATTTCCTGGTATTGCAAGTCCTCGAAACCGCCATCGCGAGCGGTCTCCCAATCCTCCACAGGGCCTTGTGGACTTTCTTTGGTAAGATGAACCTCTTCTGAAACGTAGGACATTGCTGCGTCAGATTCTTCATCTTCGCTAGCTGGTGATAAACGCGGTCGCTTGCCCTGCAATACGGTCAGACAGGCAATTCAGGGAATGGGGAATATGTGCATCTCCTACCGAGCCCCTTCGCAAACCCGCGGCATTAGTTCCAGAGGCTTCTCCATTCTCAGTACGCGACCGTGGGCGCTTGGAAGGCCGCATGGGAGCCATGGTAGGCGGTGGTGTGGTAAGGCTGGGTTTGTCGCGAGGGGCAGAGGAGGTCGTCGCGTCGCGAAAGGCACACGGCCTTCACAGAGCAAAGCTAAAGTGAGGCGTGGTCCCGTGACCGTCACTCAAATATCTCCGGTCAAACATTCACGCGGAGGTCTCTGCAGCCAAGGCTTTCATGAGTCAATCTCTGGACCAGAAGGCAGCTATATCGTACATTCACCACACCATAGCCTCCTCAATCCTTCTTCTCTTGCCCGCCTTCCGCCTCCCGCTTTACCAGAATGCGGTCCACCAGGCCAAAGTCCAGCGCTTCCTGCGCATCCATGTAGTAATCGCGCTCCATGAACTTCTCAATCTCGTCTAACGTCCGTGGCTTTGTTAGATGCCGCTGGTATATCATGTCGAGCTTCTTCCTGACCCGCAGAATCTCTTTGGCGTGAATGGCAATGTCCGACGCCTGCCCTGAGTATCCTCCGGAAGGTTGATGGATCATGATCGAACTGTTTGGAAGGCAGAACCGATTTCCGGGAGCTCCACCACAAAGGAGGAGGGACCCCATGCTGGCCGCATGTCCCATACAAATGGTAGTTACTGGGCATCTAATGTAGGTCATTGTGTCGTAAATAGCGAGACCTGCGCTTTATTTTAGCAGTCATTCTGGAGATCGTTGTAGTGGCTTCCACATACCAGCTGTCACAGATCCGCCGGGCGAGTTTATGTAGAGACTTATCGGCTTCTCAGGGTTGTCGGCTTCGAGGAAGAGTAGTTGGGCCACGATGGAGGCTGAAGTGTCGTCGTCGACTGTACCATTGAGGCATACTATCCGCTCCTACCATGGGATCAGTAACATGTATAGAAGCATAAGAGGTATACACACACCTTCAGAAGCCTCGAATAGATGTCGTCTTGTGGATAATTAGCATCGAGGTCATGCCAGAGATAGAGAACAACGCACATGTGTGCCAACCGCCTCCCTAGTCCATTAGCTTAAGCTAGATTCATGCGATGAGAGCACTCACAATGGTCTCTGTAACGTAGGGTGTTGGTGACCAAGCTTGCGGAGCGCTCTTCTTGGGGGGAAACGATGGGGCACCCGGCGGCATGGAGAAGAACGAGCGAGCTCCATGCCGAGCTGGAACTCGTAGAGCTGAGTTAGAAAAGGCGCCCTTCAGTATTCGCGACATGATTGTGGTTGTAGAATACTGGGTGTCTCGAAGTTGCAGCTCGAAGAAGCATCGAACAAAGTGCCAAGACACCGCTAATTCCTCCAACTCTCGCGGTCCTTGCTCCTCTAGACTTCGCCCTTCCATATATGTCCCTGATGAGAATCTCTCTGCCGCATGGGCGTCCTCGTTTCAGAGCAATTATCTGGCAAGCGCATCATAGACAGTTCCGCCGAAAGGCTTCCTCCGCCGCGAAGGAAAGCCCGGAATCTCTCGAACCACTCGTCCAAGATGTCCACCTCCGAAAAGCGAGCAATCGCCCTCTTCCAATACCCCCGGTGCTCAAGCCCATGGCTGCTTCAATCAAGCCGCCATGGAAAGAGCCCAAGCCAGATCCCGACCTAAATAATCTCACTCCTTTTCAAAAGAAGCTCTACCAAAATCCGTATGGTCCGCGCAACCCGCTCTGTCCTAATTCCCCCCGTTGCTGACCCTCAAACGCATAGCTCATGCACTCGCGACGCCCGTTAGACTCTGCTCCGCTACGCTCTTGCGACTGCCATCAGATCTCCTACTCTCAATGCAAGTTAAACTGCATCCTACCACCGAGGCGCCATGGCTTGTTCCCGCAGCCCTTGCCTCCAAGTCCAATAATCACGGCGTACCAGTACGATACTTGGCCCAGGAATCAATGATATTATACCTTACTCGCAACAAAAGAGAGCCCTGGAAATACACTCTTCCCCTCCGAATCGTCGAAAATCTCGGCTCCGCAATTAAGAAATTAGTCTGGCGTGAAGACATGCCTGCTTTGCTCCTGTCTATTCTTCGGAAACAACTAGTGGCCAACCTTCGATGGTTTTTTGGCAAAACATCAAATCACTTAGTTCCATGTGAAAGCCAGAGCCCAACCGATGTCGACCACATTGACGATGTCTCTTGCATTCTGTGCCTTCGTACTTTGACAACTGGGGTGGACCATCTCCATACCGAGCTGACACAAATCGTGCTGAAGGCTGAACAGAGTGCAGACAAGATCTCCAAGAGACACCGGCAGACGTACGACACCAGTAAAACGAGTTCTGATCCACCTCCGCACGTTCCTCGTCTGAAGCCTAGCCTACGATTCCCCCCGCTTCACTTCCCTACGGCTGTCTGGAGAGGTAGACGTGTTCCAGTTTACAGTCTTATTGACCTACTCGGCGAAGAGCATCTAGCTGAGCTCATAAAGGACACGAAGTTCCAGGATGAGAAAAATGTCGTAGTCATGAGAGAATCTCGAATTGCAGTCTCGGCGCAAATTAAGTTAATGCAACTCCAAGCGTACTTAGCGAAGCCTATGCCTTGACAGGATCATTGGAAAAGGCAAAGACAGAATCGGGCCTCGCTCATTTATTCACATGCCAGGGGAGCAGCTTTGGGGAAACTAATGATACTCCGATGCAGCATTTCGCGTCATGTATAAACTCCATCGAGTTCTGATCGTTGCCTGTGGAACAGACACCACAAAACAGCGTGCAGTTGGGCTGAGATGGTCAGAGCGAATTCACAAAGCCTATCCCTTAACCCGTCGAGGCGCAACGCTCGGGCTAACGCCAAGCGAACATCATTCTGGCAGCTGGCGTAGGAAGGGCAAAGGATCAGTGAGGAAAGCATCAGTTGTATTGAGGTGCTAATGAGTGGCTATATAGTGAAGAGAGACCAGGGGTTGCAGGCAGCAACGGTGACAAAACAACAGGTGAACCCTGTCCAGCTGAGAAGTGAACCCTGTACAGCTGAGACGCGTAGACAGACGTGCGTAGGAGCATTCTAACTGGCTGCCACA